CTCTCTCTCTCTCTCTCTCTCTCTCTCTCTCTCTCCCCTGTCTCTGTTTCTGTCTCTCTCTCCCCCCTCGTTCAGGTTCCCTGGACACAACATGAAGCTGAAGTCCACCTTTGTCCCCTGGACGGCAGCTAAATGAGAGATGGGTTTTCATAGCGTACTGCTTCCTGTAGTTAAACTCGTGGAGTATCTGATTGAATAACGAGTGTGTTCCGTCGGCTTTGTTTTTTTCCCACCTTTTTAACTGCGTTTTAGGTGTCGCGTGCACTGATGAAGTCTTTTGGACAACACAAAAACAATAGCGCGAGGCGTCGCATCTCTATTTTCAAATCCAGAAACTAACATTTAAAGCTGTTTTAAAAGAAACAAATAATTTGGTGCTGTTATTCCTTTGATATCTTATTCCAATCCAAAAAGTTGTAATCTATTATTATTATTATTATTATTAGTTTAGAGAGAGACCACCAAAAGATCATGGGATGGACTTTGCCCACATTCCGAATTCATCTTTTTCATCCTTCAGTTCGCCCGAGAACCTCCAGGAAGGTATGTCTTTTGTTTCTTCTCCTTTTTAAGTTGAGTGAGCCCTTCAATTCATCTGAATGTTAACTGCTATATGTCACACCATTATTGTTGAAGCATTTAGACAGATTGCGTCATCTTCAGCTGTGGAGTTCATTTTATTATTTATTTATTTTTTTTTTTGCAAAACCAGTGGCTTAACCAATTGGAACAAAAGATATTTATGGAAAAGAATAAGCAGGATTTTTTCCTGCATGGTAAAGTGACCCACGAGGAGTTTTCTGTTTGCATCCACAGACCACGAGCAGTACAACAACGCGCTCATGCCCAGCATCTTTGGCGTCATCTGCTTCTTCGGGATCTTCGGGAACTCCGTCGTCATCTACACCATCGTGAAGAAAACCAAGCTGTGCTCCCAGCCAACGGTGCCGGACATCTTCATCTTCAGCCTGTCCATCGCGGACCTCCTCTTTCTCCTCGGCATGCCCTTCCTCATCCACCAGCTCGTGGGCCGCGGCTCCTGGTGCTTCGGTGGCACCATGTGCACCGTCATCACGGCGCTCGATTCCAACAGCCAGATCGTAAGCACCTACATCCTGACCGTGATGACCCTGGACCGCTACCTGGCCACCGTGCATCCCATCCGCTTCAAACACGTCCGGACCCCCTTCGTGGCCGGGGCGGCGGTGGCCCTGGTGTGGGTGTTTTCCCTGGTCTCCATCACCCCGGTCTGGATGTACACGGGACTCATGCATCTGAAGGACGGCTCCGTCGGCTGCGCCCTCCTGCTGCCCGACCCGGCCACGTACTGGTTCACCCTCTACCAGTTCTTCTTGGCCTTCGCTCTGCCCTGGGTGGTCATCTGCGGGGTCTTCTTCAAGATTCTCCAAAACATGTCGGCCGCGGTCGCCCCACTGCCCCGGCGCAGCCAGAGGGTGCGCACCAGAAAGGTGACCCGCATGGCGGTGGCCATCTGCCTGGCGTTCTTTGTTTGCTGGGCCCCCTACTACGTCCTGCAGCTGGCCCACCTCGGAGTGCAGCGGCCCACCTTCGCCTTCCTGTACGCCTACAACATTGCCATCAGCCTGGGCTACGCCAACAGCTGCATCAACCCGTTTATCTACATTGTGCTGAGCGAGACGTTCAAGAGGCAACTCGTCGTGGCCCTTCGTCCGCCCCACGGGGTTCTCAGGGTGGCCCCTGCTCCGGCCGACGGCAGCATGAGTCTGAAGGTGGCCCCGGACTGCTCTCAGCCGTCCCACTCTCAGTCAAAAAGGGAACTGCTTCGAAACATGCTGCCCGCCACCGTGGCCGTGCACTGAGGTGGACCCCTGACTGTCCATCCAAGGCCACCGTCCACAAAGGGGTCCACCTGCCACCTCTACCAGCTGTTAGTCCCCTCAGCACTCACCTCTGCTGCATTAACAACATGCACGTGACTCTGCTGAACTCTAATGTACATGTAGCTGTGACATTTCAAATGAGTCACTAACTCATGTTTAGACTCAGCCAGGAAACAGTTAAACATAATCAACCATTCAACAATGGAAAACAAATAACACCGGCTATTTCATAAGAGAGCCTACTGAGATGCTTACAGCGGGTTCACTTAATGAAAGATATCAAGCCTCTGTATAAACTGATGCATCTTTGACATGAACTTCAAATGGCCAAAACTATCTCAATAGTTTAAAAATTGGACTAAAAGGAGAATTTAGTTCTTTTTTTTTTTCTTCTTCTACAGCTAAATTAGGGGTAGTCCATGCAAACCAACGTGGATTTTATGCCTCTGCAAAACTCAACATAACAATTGTTGTGAGCTGAAATTTGAGTTGTGAGCAGTATTTAACTGTGATTGGCTGTTTTATGTTGTCGTACCAGTATTTGTGGGATTGCAGGATGTATTGTTAGTCTGTCACTACGTTTGTGGCTTTGAGTCACAGCTCTAATAACTCTAATAACCCTCCAGCCATCTGATTCATGCTCTTAGCGATGCATCAACTGTCTCATTAAAGACTTTTGCCGGGTCACTGTGTGCATATTTAAATGTCAAAACAATTGTCAGTGCAACACCATTAGAGCGAGGAGGTGCTGCTCCTATACACTCCATGTGACTGATGTGTTTTGAACCACAATCGCTGACTAAGCGACCACAGAAGCACACTGACAAAGTGTTTTGTGTCACCGGCAACTATATAGATACCAAATGTCATTACTCGCTGTATGTACAGTATGTGGCTGTTCGGCTTGTGATGTAGCTATTAGTCTGTGTGTATTTAACTGGGCCTCTTTACTGTGATGACGGATACAGGCTACACTGTGGCATGTCTATAGCAAGCTGTACTGCATGTTTTAACTGTTTAATTCTCCTCCAGGGGATAAAGAATGTGTGTGTGTGTGTGTGTGTGTGTGTGTGTGTGTGTGTGTACACAATGTGAAAGCACTTGTCTCATCCGGTGGTCAAATTCAGTTTACTCCTAAATTTTCAATGTATTGGTGTTTGCTTTGTGAGTTTCTTGTTTTTGCAACGTTCTTTGCAAAAATGTTCTTATGTCAATAAAAGTGTTGAAGTCAACTGAAATATCTCCATTCAACGGTGTGCAAGGACACATGGAGTTGAAAGCATTTCAACCAGAATCATCCGTCGAGGCAATGTTCCCGGACTTAAAGAGGGAGAACTGTTTCTTTCTCCCCCCCCCCCCCCCCTCAGCTTTTCACAGTGGGAAGACTCGGCTTCACTGCTCATCCAAATGTCAAGTAACACCATGATCTAGAAAAGAACAGAGGAGTGGAATAAAACCGGGATTATATGGCATTCACATGCTATTTCCTGAATCATAAAGACCATCCAATTTAACACAAAATAATTAAATACTAAGGGAATTATTTACTCGAAACCCCAGTGAGACATTATGGTGGTAATGAAGTACGGATCACAGAACTGCATGACGTCAATGACAACGGAAATGATTCTCTGTCCCTGCGCCACAGTCGGGAACTAAAGTCAAGATTGTTTTTATCTCACAAGTGGACATATTGTGTGCATTTAGTCAATATGGAGACATTTTTCAGCAACTGAGATAAAGATAAGGTTCATAAATGTGTAAAAACGGAGCGGATGACACAAAGAATATATCTATCTGATGTAGAATACAGTCTTTAGTTTAAATATTCCCCTCAAGCAACACACGTTGATGCAGAATATTGCAGAATATTTAAGCGATTCTCTCATCAAAATGTCTTTTTTTAATCAAAGAAAGTTAAGTAGTAAAACTTTAATATAAAAATATTCTTTCAACATTTTAGGGCTGGAAGGTGTGATATAAAACTATCCTTGGAATAAGATTTTGAACCTTTCACACCAGCAATAAAGATGGATGCTTCAGACATCCCTGTGCTGTCGTTTCATGTTCACGGCACATGAAAAGTCGTAATAAAAGTGTAAAAATAGCACAAAGGCCCAAGGCACTGATACAGAGGTGTACACATGGATGGCTTACTGAATGGAGCCTCTGTTTGAAGGGACTGTTAATATTTCTTGTTCAAAAAGTCAGTCAAACAACTATAAAGAGATAGAAATCAACAACAAAGAGATGCAAAACATGTCACAGAATAACCACAAAGAGCTGCAAAAGGACCAAAAAGGATGCAAAACGACCACAGTGACGCTAGGCGACTGCAACAAGAGCCAAAATGACCAAAAAAGGGACACAAAGAGACGTAAAACAAGATAGATACATTCAAAACATTTACAAAGAGATGCAAAACAAGCATGAAGAGATTTAAAATGACTACAAATAACACAAAATGACCAGAAAGAGATGCACAAGCATGAAGAGATTCACAATGACTGTAAACAGATGCAAAACGAGAATGAAGAGATTAAAAACAACTACAAAGAGACACTAAACGACCACAAAGAGAAGCAAAACATGTCGGAAATCAAGACACAACATTATCACATAGAGCTGCAAAATGACCAAAAAGGGTGACCACAGAGACGCTAAGCGACAACAAAATGAACCAAAACGACTAAAAAAGGGAAACAAAGAGACGTAAAACAACCACAAATAGAATCAAAAATAACTGCAAAGGGATGCAAAACGAGCATGAAGGGATTCAAAACAACTACAAAGACACATAACCAAAAAGAGATGCAAAACAAGCACAAAGGGATTAAGACGAATACAAAGAGATGCAAAACTATCATGAAGAGATACAACTACAAAGACATGCAAGAAGAGAATGAAGAACATACAAAGGGATGCAAAACTAATGAAAAGGGACACAAAGAGATGTAAAACAACCTCAAAGAGATTCAAAACAACTGCAAAGAGATGAAAAACAAGAATGAAGAGACACAGGTGCCCATTGACTCATAGTCCGTCCATGTGTGCATCCTTATCTCAGCAGGTTTGAAAATGACAGAGACTTTCAAACCCATTGCTTTAGGTTATGTAGAATTAGATTCACCACCAATAAACACAACATGAGTTTGTTCTGCAGAGGCCCGGCTCCACTGACAAAAACCTTGATGGCTGTGTAAATGATCGGACATCATTTATGACTTAAAACTCCTTCTGCATAATGTCTATCCCAGTTGTCACGAAATGTATACATAAAAAATGACTAAATCCTCTCTTTCTCTTCCTTGATGGTTGGTGTAATACAAAAAAATAACTCTTTCAGTCCTTGAACGTAATCCATGCATAAACCATAACGTGTCCCTACTGTTTCAATCATTCATTCACACCGTCTGTGATGCATTCAGTTTGCCATTTTCACAAATTTGATTTCCCTAATGAGGGATTCAGGATATGATTTTCTTGGCGCTGCTTCCTTGTCATCGGTTCCTCCAATATCGTCTCTTGTTTTCAGACAAAGCGGTTGTTTGAGCAACAAGCTTCACTCACTCTGCGTCATAAACCAGTGAACTCTGATTTACTGGTTTTAATTTCAAATTTAATTTTGCCAAAAACACATTGGAGTCCATCCCAGATGAGCGATAAGGAGATAGCATTAGTGCTGGACCAGCCACTACACTGTCAAAATGGTGAAAGACAGAGACAATCATCATTCCTGATGACATCTTATAAAACAAGGCGATATATGAAACGGATAAGCAGGTGTCGGCCTTCCCTTAGATCTGTTGGTGATGGTGGAAACAGCAGTAATGGCCTCAGGCTATCAAAACACCAGCAGCCATCACACCAACCTCTGCTTGAGCAAAGACACCAATTACCCTCGCTATGATGACTTTGGTCCAAAGGCGGGGTCCATGCACAGTGACTCACATCATGCTGACTAGTGTGTGTAAGTGGAGCCATTAGGAAATTGAGGTCAGGCCGTGTTCCAAATGATGTGCGGATGTTCAACCTTCGACGTCAAAGAGATGAGTAAATGATGAGTTCCAATCGGCGACGGCTCTCAAGTGGACTATCAACACAAACAATAACACGCTTTTTCTTTTATTTTCGGAGCAGTATTGTTTGGCTCCGTAGGACACATTTTTTAATTTAGAAAACATTTTCCCTTCTTATTGCTCCAGAGACAGGTATTGTAGGAAATGGCTTAAAGTCTAAATACACAAAAATGCTTGTAACAAATTGCAGTGTAATAAATAACTATACACATATATATATATATATTCATCCTTGAGTCAAAGTGGACGTTTGTGCTCAAGGAGCTCCTCAGATATCATGTTCCCAAGAATTGAGAAAAAAAAATATTGCAAACAGGGGAAAACAGCTAGCCTAGCTCTAGATCGCTTCTAACGTTGTGTCTTTTTTGTTTAATCCTTCCTTTACAAGGGGCCATGTTGACTGTTATGCTAAGCTAATGAACATGTTAACATATAATTAATAGTCTGAGACATTACCACTCCATAATTAGCAAACTGTTATTTCTACAATCAAAATATAACGCGTTAATCTAATTTTGCTAAACTAAGCTAACTGGCTGCTAGTTCTAGTTCATATTTGACACATTTATCATATTTTGGGAAATAGTTTTCTTTCGCTTTTCCGCTAAGAGTTAGTTGAAGCTTGATACCACTTTTTAAGGATCAAACAAAGAAAATAACGTATTCATTTGTGAACTTTAGAGGTGCTGGTAGGCCAGGCTAGGTTCCTAACATAGCTAGTTAGCTATGCTAATTAGCCTCCGGCGGTAGCTTCAAATTTAACACACACAGATGAGAATGATATCAATCTTCTCATCAAACTCTCGGCAAGAAAGTGAATAAGCGTATTTCCCAAGTGTCAAACTATTTCTCAAAGTATTAATTAACAGTTTATACAAATACATTAACAAAACTATTTTAAAAAGGCAGTTTTTCCAACACAAACAAATTAAATAAAAGCATTTATGCTTTAGCTGTTGAGAATATAATAAACATGTACTTCTGATTTATTCAAGTGCTGTACTTCTTAACAACCAACTAAATAATTAGGAGTGTAACTACCCCCTCATACTGACACTCTGATGTGATTATTATTAATGTTGAAGTGTAAACAGATGAGGAGGCATGATGCATTTCACCCATTGCCTGTCTAAATAGAAATCCCAATTGCATTACTTAGCAGTAACAACTTTTGCCTGCGGACAAGTTACAGGTTATTGCATTTTGTGTGTGATAAAAGATAATATTAAATGGGCCCTAAGTTGATATTTCAGCAACATACTAGATAAGCTACTGGCTGTTCTTTCCAGTGACATTAAAGATGCTCAATGTGGTGATTAATATATTGCACGGCACATCTCTGCTCTGTTAGCTTCCATTATTCTGAAAGGTTCTCTGCGAGTCCGGCCCTCCTGCTGCCTCATTTTATAACAACCAAAACAGATAACGGGCCATGTTGGAACAAGACACGTTCTTGTTCAAACACAGTAACGGGAAAACGGTTCCTAACAGAACGTACTCACTTGAACAGCACATCCTCCTCGTAACAGCAGATGATCTGATCAGATTTGGAGCAGGTGGCTGCACACATTTGCAAACTAAAACATCTTTTAAAACACCCCCTGGTTAGAGGCTGAATAAGTGGTGGCATGGTGGACATTATACTCTTAATAAATATGGAACCAATAGCTCAATATGCATTCTGTACAGGAGCTTCTGATTATCTGCGACGTGTCATTTACATGAAGTGTCAGCAACGATCTACAGAGCATTAAACAGTACTTAGTGTAAACTGTGGTGGCTCTGGGAGCTCAGATCAGTGGGGATATTGATGACAGAATGGGTCAACTGAGCAGTCGCTGCACTGCATACACACAGCTGATTTGTGAGGTAAAACATACTATAGCTGGTAGATGATTATAAGCAGGACATGATTAGTAAAGAGAGGAATCACTGTTCCCTTTCATTCTGTTAGCGATGCACAGAATGTACAGGTCGCTGATAGAATAAGGAGGACATGAGCGGTACGTGTGGTAAATGTGTCTTCATATGGATCTCATCACGTTCATGTGTGACAGACGAGTAGAACTCAAGAGGAGCTTTGCAGAACTCCTCGGTAGTCCGGCCTCAAAAGGGTTTCAGGTAAAACAGCCTTCATCGGAGCTGCTACTCCAGCGGATACGTTGCTTGAATTTAGCAGAGAATCCAACCGCTCAGAGGAGGCACACCTGCCTTGAATCCTTAAAAAAAAAAAAGAAAGAAAGAAAGACCATCGCTGCATGATGTGAGCCAGAGACGAGAACGAGACGCTCAGACAGACGCTGTGGTGATAAATGATTCAGCTTACACTCAGTTCGTTTGTGAGAAAAGCCGTGTTTAATTTGCAATCCATAAAACTTGCAGTGCATTAAGCAGATATTATAGAGAGTCCAGTACAAGGACGTCTGTGTGTCGTGTCCAATTCAAACCCCAGTTACAGCACGTATTAGTCTGACCTGGTACAGGAGCCTGAAACATAGCGTTTTAAATCTGGTACTTTAATTACATAATTACAGGTACAAAATGTAGACTTTTAAAAAAGTTAATAATAAAATATAATCTAGACATAGTCCCCAAATAATGTCTCCAAAACATCCTTTATTTCCTATCACTTGATTTTGGTAGAGTGTTGTTAGACCGTGATGTTAACCGACACGACATGAACACAGTTACAGTGGAGGCAAATACTCTGGACTCTTTACGTTCCCCAATGATCCCCAGTGACAGAAACGGTGAGGAAGACTGATGACTGTGACTCAAACACACAGGAGCATCAACTGTCTGTGCTGCCCACTTTATTACACTTCATGTGAATGTGGCGGAGCATGATTACCACCAGGACTCATTACATCCCTGTGTCTGCAGAGACAGAATGAGTGAGTGTGTGTGTGTGTGTGCACAGTGTGTGAATCCTCTGTTCAATCCTGAAAGAGAAAAACTGAGCTTTTGAAGCTGGTCCTGTCATCGTTGGCACTTTATCAGTAAGAATTCAAATCTGCCTTCAATGAAAGAGACAGAAATTCGGGTTGTCGCTCAGCAGAGGTGGAAACACAGAATCACATCATTTATTGCTCTGCAAGCGTCTCTGTAGTCTGAACAATCTCACCTCCTGCTTCATGATGAGCCAAAACTCTTCAACCGTCCACAGAACTCACCCGAACAAAAACCAGAGGAAAAGGTGTTTTCAAGGGGAAGGGCTTCTCACACGTCAACTTATAGTTATAACAGGTATTACTTAGATTCTCTTCATCTAGTGTAGCAGCCACACACCTCTCCCGCTGATTATCTGTTGGCTGCAAATTGAAGATATACAGAAAAAGAAAAAGCTTTTTTTTGCCAATTTTTGCAGCAGTGTAGATGTTCCTTCATTAGCAATGTCACATAAGCTCTGATCGTGCAGAAAAATATGGATTTGAAAAAAGAAGAAAGTGCATTTGTGATATAACATGATAGTAAGATGACAAAGCAAATGATGCATGTTGTTCCAGCAGCCGATTTACAGTGCAGATGTTTAACACTTTGACACATTGTAGCACATGTAACAGATGATGGTTTTATGAATTTACCGAATCACCCTCAGCTGTAACGAAAGCACGTGTTACCAGCAGACTAAAGAGAGGAAAAATAAAATCACATTACAGCAGTGTTCCTCCTCAGTAAATTCAACTCTGCATAGATTTAGTTTAAGACACACACGGGTAAGAACTTATGACAGCACTATGGAGGGGAGCGAGAGGATGTACTTTGTCTCCGGCGACGCCTCCTGCTGGGAGCTCCGATGGGTGACGAGCGTAGAAATCAGCAGAGGTCGTGGTGGTCAGCTGTCAGTCAGGGCTGTCACAGAGGGACTTCAAAAATAAGATACAAAGCAATGTGTCACATGGTAGTCAGTCACTGAAGTAATCACTGGGATTAATATTAATGATAGTAACAAAACAACCTGACTGCCTTCCACTTAGTTACAGGGAAGCTTCCCAATCAAATATCTGAAAGGCTCTTATGATTGTGTCTCCAGCCTAACAACCTAAGCCTATGAGCAGGACTCAGGGACAGATATGTGCCTACCCAGGGACGTGGTGCTGAAACGCGTGCGCTGCAGAGTGGCGTAGCTCGGCTTGTCCGACAGCGGGACGCGGTGGGCCGGGGGGGCCACTGCCTCTCTGTTCCTCTGCAGGGAGGCACACCTGCGAAATGTCAAATCCAGCCTCGTCTGGATGTTGCCGGAGCTGTGAGCGCGCTTTATGTCCACGGGGTCGTGACTCCCGGCCTTTCCGTTGACCAGCTGCGCTTTGCAGTTATGGGCGTCGCAGCTCGGCGTGGTCAGCGTGCCATTGGAGAGGGACAGTTTGGCTAGGTTGCTGCTCGCCAGTTTCTCCGGGTGCCCGTGGCCGTTTATACGCTGGTCGTGCCCCTTGATTGGTGAACCGGGAATGTCTTTCTTGATGAAACCCGGTTTGAAAAAAGACAGCAGGCTGTCGTGGCTGCGGCCCTCCTGTCCCCTCTGGCCCCTCCTGTCCCCGGGTTGAATGGCCATCTGTAACGAGTCCTTCTGCGTCCTGAAAGTCACCCCCTTGGTCCTTCCTAATGTGGAGTCTCTGCTCTGAGGTGCGCTGTGGCTGATGTGACCCATCAGAAGGGCCCCTCTCTGAAGCTGGAGGTCCAGGGTCCTGCCATGGTCCGGCCTTGCTCTCTTAGACGACCTCTGCCTCAGAGAGCCATCGTCCCTGTTGCCGACACCCTGGCTCATGCTTCTCTCCACACAAGCTCGGCTCTGTCCCTTCGGTATTTTGGGGGAGTAACAAGTGTCGGAGCCGGGTCGGTCAGTATAGCTGAGACTGCTGCCGCTGGGTGAGCTGCAGTCCTGTCCTACTTCGAAGGCCCTTCCTGGGGCATTCCTCTGTGGTGGGGTGGCCACCAGTGCTATTATAGGGTCTTTGGTGCATCGGGGGCGGCGCCCAGACTCCAGGTACTCCACCAGCTCCCCAGGCTGGGTCTGGGCTGAGTGTCTAATGCGGTCCTTGGTGCCAAAAGACCACCGCAGCGGCAGAACTTTGCTCAGACTCTCCTTGGGCTTCGTTGGGGATCTCATGCTCACACTCCTGCCTTGGCTCCCGCGGACTAACGGCTTGGCTGCAAACCCATCTAGAGGAAAAGACACCTCACGTTACTACTAACCACTACATAGTTATAATTATAGTAGGTTATCAATCAATTTGTCATTGATAGCTAGTGAAATATTGGCATAATTGTATGCAAAACACTAAATAGTGTTGTTTTATGCAGAAGTGTTGAGATAACTAAAACATTCCATACGCGCTACTCCAGATACCTACTTGTTTCTACTGTTCTGGGCAGTTCGTCTCCAAACACTGGCAGCTCAGGAGACTCTGGGGCCTGAACGGGCCCCGGAGGTCCAGGTACTGGTCCTCCTGACACCACGCTGCCCCTCTTACTGCCCCCTGCTAGCCGGACCAGCCAGTGGTCAGAGGTGGATGAGCTGGTGGAACCTGCAAAAAGCAGATAAGCCGTGTGTGGTTTTTTTTTGTATATTCATTTATCCTAAAACAAGCCATGTGCAGAGAGTCAGAAGGCTTCCCACAGCTAACGTCACGGTGAGATCCACACTGCTGAGTGAAATATGAAAACAGGATATAATCAGTATTTTCACCCATCTGTGAACACCTTCATGAGGCTGAAATCATGAAAATGACTGCTTCTGTACAGGAAATTTCATTTTTCAGCGATAACAAAGATAACAAGGAAACAATGTTCGGCAGCTGATATAGATTTAACTTTTTGTCACACTTTAGTAATCCTTACCCCTCAAAGTTTTAGTCGACGACCACTCAAAGCGCTTTAGTCCCGTTTAAGGAGCTGTTCAAATGTCGCGTCAATGATTGTTGTCATTGTGGACGCTCGGACTGACCAAGACAGTTGTGGTGAGTTTTATTTTGTTACTGTTGAGTTTGAGTGTGTGCTTTATGATTCTCCGCCGCTCGACTAGCTGATCTCTTACCCACCCAGCCTGTTATGGGAGACGATCCGCCCACACAACATATGCGTTAATCAATCACCCGACCCCGACCCTCAAACCACCAACATTATACATTGTACAGGACTGACCCTGTCAGGATCCCTGTCAGACCAGACACCTCCCATGGCCACACAGCTGCAGCCACTCCAGCCGATTACCTCCTGCAGGCTGACACACCAGGCTCAGGTCCCACTAACGCTTTCCCTGGCACTATATAAACTCTGGTCCTGCAGTCTGGGGTTGTCAGGCCGTACCGTCTTTCACCCGCTTCAACCCCATTGCATCTTCTGCCTCGAGCGCCTGCCTCCGGTGTCCGTCGGTCCGGGAATCCCCCGTGCCCTCCGTTGTGTTAACGGACTACTCACCGCCGCTCCGCCCTCCGTTGTGTTAACGGACTACACACGCCGTCAAGCTGCCAGCTCTCCGGTGTCGAGCCACGGGACTCACACCGTCGATCTGCCTACTCTCTGGTGTCGGACCACGGGCTCCACACCTTCACACACCTTCAAAATAAAACCTGTTTATATCAACTTCTGTCTCCTGTGGTCTTGCTATTGGGTCCTAACCGTGAACTCCCGTGACAGACCCAAGGACAGAGACGATGGAGCGCCGCCGTCGCACTGCAGTGTGTTTGAGACAAAGAGAGAGAGAGAGAGAACGGTGGAAGGTGATGAAAATAAAGACGTTATCTTTCAAACGATATTGCATGTTTGTTATCTTCACCGTTGTTGAATGAACCGTCCTGTCATCGTCTTAGTCCTGGTAAAAGAAGTCATTAACGAACATGTTTCCTCATAGCTTTAGCTCACAAAATTGACGTTGCAATAAGAATGCACACCGATGCTGCTGAAGAGCAGTGCATCAGCCAATTCGACAGACTGTAATTACAGAGGGAACAACAACACTTCTGAAGGCCAAACTGTGAGTAATGGTGGTGTGAGATGTACCGATACTCCCACATTACCTTCATTATTTCTGTATTTCACAACAATGATGTGAGGCAGATCCCTCCCGACTGTTCTCAATATACTGTAACAAGTCGCTGCAGAGGGTTTGAAAGGACTAACCGGTGACTGAAGAACTGGCAGACCACGGGGGGATGGCGTCTCTTCTCTGATAGAAGAGGATGTAGGCTCCACGCGTGCACACCTCCGCTTCAGGCACCGCTTCAGCACTGCTGTCATCGTAGCTGTACCACTGGCCGTCCACCGAGTTCCTACAGAAGGCTGCAATGTACAATAACAATGGGCTGGAGTAAATTACAGGACATTTTAGAGCACCACTCATTCATGTCAATTTGGCGAGGATACTTGGAAAAAGATTTCTTTTTTTTAAGGTTCTGCCTTTACTCCCACTTGGTTTTGAACACAGCCTGACAGATACTGGGGTTTGTGAGAGGCTGGTACCCCGATGTGTCCCGTCTTACCTTGCTGAAATTAACTTGAAAAACTTAAGTAAATGGCTTCAAATTCAACATCATTATAACTCTCCTTTCTGGTCTCAGCACGACCATTACGCTGCATTTACTGTGCGCGAGTGTCACTTACGTGGCCCATTTTAGTGACATCACGATGTGAAGTTTAACCTCCCCGGTGTAGCACAAGCGGTACATTTCTACAACTGTTGTTGTCCGTCAGAGTGTTTTTAAGGTGGAGGGACTGTGCTGTGAGCTTGTTGCAGGAAACACGCTCCCACATCCCCCACAGAACCGCTCCAGCGAGCATCCATGTAGTCAGCTGTTACACAAATGTATCTGCTTGTGTTTAGTTTTTCACCCTCACAGTTTCTTTGTACAGAGGGTGTTTTTTGGCTCGACTCCCATGGCAACTAGAGGCAGGGATGTTCACTGTACGTTGTCACCGACACGCTGGTTATGTGATTGCTTTAGGCAGCTTATAGCTCTCTCTCTGCTCTCTTCTAGCTGAGTGCCATATTTGATAAAGTTAGAAACTGAAGCCTGTGGTTTAGATGTTCTTGTTGACTCAAGCAGTAGCACAGATTTGTCCATCTGAGATCAAGTCATTCCAAACCTATTGCCCTCACAAAACACTTTGGACTACAGCTGATAGAAAAAGCTCCTGACACGTTTTCTTTTTGATCTATTTGAAAGGTGCCGTGTAAATTAAATGATTATTACTACTGCAGGTCTTTCCTCAGGAGGTGGTAGTTACTCAGACCTGTGTAATGTCCGCCATGCATTCCTCCATGGTGGTTGCACACAGCATACAGGTCGTACAGGAAGTCGGGAGGAGCCAGGTCAGGCCGTCGGGGCTGCGTCCAGCCCGGCTGGAGAGGGGGCTGAGGGGGCTGATGGCCGCGGCTCACCATGTGCGGCGCCATGTCCAGGCCCGCCAGGGGGAAGTGCACGAACGTGGTGAGCTTGTTCCTCCGCTCCCCCACCTGCCTGAAGCGCTTCAGGTGGAGGATGAGGATGTCCGGCAGCGTCCACAGGCTCATCTTCACCATGCCCTGCTGCAGCTGCTTACAGTGGGGGCACTTCCAGGCGTCGTCCGGGGCAAGCTAGGGGGGGGGGGAGAGGGAGACGAGGGGGAAACGTAGACACAAAACATGCAGTCAGCAGAATGGTCTCTGCCTGTTTAACATCCTGACAGAGCCTAAAAAACTCTTCTACTCCAACTCTTGCAGATAAATCACAATGAGTATTTCTTATTCCATGTAATCATATTCTTATAAATGATGCTTGACAGAACGTTGGAAATTCAGTCTTAATCAGCGTCTCTATATCTCTGTATCTCTGTCTGTCTCTCTAGACCTGTTGGGGAGGGGGGCTTGACTATGTATGGGTGGTATATAGACTGTTTTTTTTTTACTTGATGCGAGGCTGTGGGTGGGTGCATGTGAAGGTGTGGGCGTAGACGGGTGAACGAGGTGGGCTCATTTTATTTTTCATCAAGGTTAATAACTATCATTAGAATCTCTCTCTCTCTCTCTCTCTCTCTCCTGAGTGCTTGCTGAGTGTTGGGTTTCTGTAAATTATAGACTATAGATTAAATACAGTGTCTGTTATGATTCAACACTGTATGAATTATTTGAATTTACTGTTAAAGCTGTTGCCATGGCTACTACTTTTAAATCACTGTCCATGTCTCCCTCTGGTCACCATCTTGTCTTCTCTGCAGCGATGAGTTCTTGCATTCAACAAGGCCATTCGTTGACAGCAGCCCCCCACGAGTTCCCTTTTCTCTCAGTCAGCAGCGTAACTTACGTCAATGTGACTAAACTGTGGATCCTTTTTATTGCTCTGACACAGACGACAACAACCTGTTTTCTTCCTTAACCTCGACCACCACCAACACTCTGTGTATTTACACGTTTACATACTGTTGTGAAATGAGTCTGCACTTGCTACATTCTGCTATATAAAAATACAAAATGCATAAACTCCGAAATTCAGACGCACAACACTAACGGCTTCACTTTCCTCGATGACCAATGAAAGACGGCAGAACGTTTTGTAATGGTCGGGGACGTTTCACCATCATCTCTTCCAGTAACAGAGTGGTTTACACAGACAGCAGTTTCACTTCCACTCTACTCTCCACTCCTCGGCCTCTTAAGAGGAAGTGTTTGATGAAAAGTGATACGTTTATTTACGACCAGCCACATGATCAATGAATGCTGGACGTCGGGATCAGAAAGGCTAAAAGATTCTTTCCCGGGTGTATTGTAAGAGATGATGTTCATGCTAAATCATTACAAAAAGAAAAGAGACTTCAAAGGCAATAGTGCTACATATAGTGATGCTGTCATCGTGTCCTGGGGTCTGTTGTGTTCTGGTCCAATAGTTAATCCTGAGATGTGAATGAAGGGTTTTGGTTGCATTAGTGTTGGAGCGATGTGAACAATGTGTGTAAACTTGATAAAGAAGTGCTGAACATTTTCCCTTGTTCTTGGCCTCACAGGTGAAATACTAATAATGGGATTGCAATATGATGATGGACATTATTAATCATTTTGCAAAGTCTGGGATTCTCAAATTCCTAACTTAAGTGATCATCCATACACATATGGACAAACTAAAAACACAAACGGCTGAGGGCCGTTCATGAGCCTGCAGCGCCACTCTGTGGTAACATGAGGGAACAGCAGCAGCATTATCACAGCCAATCACAGGCGATCAGCACAACAGCAGTGGAGAAGGAAACGGGGAGGAAAGAGGGCCAGACAGGACATACGGTGTGTGTTATTACATGTGGTCAAAGGAATTAAAAAAACTCTACTTAAAGTCAACAGTGAAACGTTAAGGTCTGCTGCTGCATGTCGGTGAAGAGAAGTGACATATGCTCTCTGTTACTGTAAACATTGTTGACTCTAAACTGTATTAATAATAATGACGGGCTTAATTGGCTGCATGGCTCCTCATTCATCTTTCATTTTACTTCAGAAGTAGTAACTATTAGACCTCCGTGGGGGTTCGGTCCAGGTTGGGCTGATAAATAATGTGTTGTGTATAATGATTTTTGAGACCAAGGTTATTAACTATTTACAAAAAGACTGGAAACTATAAAGTGTTGAGCGTTCACAAACTCAACATGTTGAACAGAAAATATTTAAATTTGAACTGCGTTCATCAGTCAAATGAAACTCTTGTTATCGTATATATTGTACATGTGCACCACACATATAATATATATATATATTTATATAAAAATGTTTTTCTTTCCTTTAGCATGTCTCATTTCTTTAAGGTCAAAAAAACATGCTATAATCCTTTCAAACCTCATGAAAACAACAGGTTCCATCGTTGTCTTCTCTCTGTTGTCACCATGACACTTGTGTTAAATACAGTGAGTAACAGCTTGCGTTTGGGTCATTCTGTAATGTTTGTCACATCACGGCTGTCACCGCCCACCTCCTCTAAGGAATCGTTAACAGTAGTAACATGACGTCACGTAGAGTCGATCAGGTAGAGTTCAGGAGGCTGAGTTTCAGGGTTCTTGCAGGTATCAAAAGGCAACGGACGGACTACCTGTTCCTCTTTGGTGTAGAGCTGGAAGCACTCGTCCAACGTGCAGCTGTACTGCTGGACGTGCTGCTGCTGCTGATTCCTCACGCTGTCCGCGTCCTTCACCACCTCCTCCTGAATGTTACCAAACAGGCTGCGGCCCGGGACACAACGAGGCTCGAGTCAGGTTAAAAGAGAGAGAGAGAGAGATGCCAGAGTAAACACACGGTGGTCTGTAATAGAACGTGTACTTACCAGTCTTTGATTCTGTGCTCCCACTCGATGATGAGCTTCACGTGTGGGGGTCCTCCTGAGCAGCAGAGCTTCAGAGCTCTGAAAGACAAAAAGGTGAAAGGTCATCCAGTGCACAAAGTCCATTCACTGCTCTGACATGATTTCTGAAATCTGCCGCACTTTCAAGCTTTGAGACATTTACAGTAAATGTACTGCACCGACAACCTTATTATAGTCGTTTGAGTGCACTTGTATTGTGGCTTCTTAACCACCAGGTGTCAGTGTTACCACAGAAGCTAATAAAGCAGGAAAGACTGCTGTGTGAGAGGGAGAAAGTCACTGTGTGTGATTGTGTTGGGGATTAAGCTTGAAATGTTTTAGGTAAACAAAGATTACATTTAAAGATACACAATATTCTTTTGTTTTGCTCATAGAACTCATAACAAAACACGCTTCCCACAGTTCTCAACTTAAGGTAGATTTACAAAAATACCATCTTCTTCCTGGATTCACAGTCTTCATCAGATCACATTGGGAGAATTGGTTGAAAGCTGAAGAAACAGCTATTGAGTGGAGCTTGAGTAACGATAATCTTTGCACAAACTACCATTTTAAAAAGGTCAAGAGTGAACTTGAGTGGGTGCTGCTGGGCGCCAGAACTAAATAATGGAACATACTTAAAGCAAAGCTCAACTTAAACCTCACAAAGAGCGTCTCAAATATGTTTCAAAGAAAACTGCTGAAGCAAAGAGAAATGGCCTCATGCCTGTTAACACACTGTTTTCACTAAACTGTGATATATGCAACACCTTCACTTGAGAACAACTCTACAGCCATGCTAGCAGCCATGCTAGCAGCTCTGTTCGCTATAGTTAGTCACAGCAGTGGTCTGAGCTAAATGCTAAAATCAGCATGCTAACATGCTCACTATCACTAAGTGATTTAGTTCCTTTTGTTTATGAAAAACATATTCACAGTTACATTAAGCAGGTATAATGTTTTCCATGTTCATCACCATCTTAGTTTAGCGTGTTAGCATGCTAACATGTGCTAATTAGCACTAAAAGTATCGCTGTTAGCGTCGTTAAATTAAGATTACGTCAATATGTCCTTTGGTATAAGGAACACAGTATTACACAGATAGCAGTGTGTAAAGCAGACTGAAACACATGCGTTGGGCTGACTTGAGGTCAGAGAATATTTCTGAATCATTGGAGTTCACCATTATTACATTCGTTTCTAGGATACAGTGTGCTGTTTTCAAAAGCTTTTGCCACATCAGCGCCGTTCAGCGAATGAACTGCTCTTAGGAACTACACAAATGGAAGTCCTCTCAAGACTTTGCCAAAATGCCCCCTTGAAACAGTGATTCACTAACGCAAGTGAAAGCCATCACACGCGTGTCAAGATCTGTGAAAGGATTAGAATGTCTGCACATTTCAGTCAATGCTGCAAAATCAGTTTTACGATATACATAAAAAGAAGATAAAACAGAACATCTGTGCAGACGGGGCGAGTCTTTAAAAGGTAACTCATATTAGTCATATTAGTGCGTAACATTTGTTTTTACGTCAGAATGTCTCCAGTAATTTGCAGCCTGGCCCGTGGTTTTAGCCTTTCTCCAGAAACACTTGATTAGATTAGAGCAGATTCAAATTGCATTAAAATTGATTACATTAGACCAAATTTGAAAAGAGCCTGCGGGAACATTGGGTCGTTTCAGCGCTGAAAATTTGGACCATGATGGAGCAGTAATTCTACAACCTAGGGACACATTTAGAATAATCTAATAAAGCTCCGGTCTAATAGAAGAATGAAGTGTCCAGACAGCCAGCCCGTGTGTGCTCATGGTGTTTGCACCTGCAGGAATATTTCTTAGCTGCTGAAACATGGAGGATGTACATTCACGTGTAGAAAATACAGAAATGTGTGCAAAAAAAAAAACAACCATTCCTGTCCTGCATCAGAGGATACAGGAGCTTTTATTGTATGAATGGTTATTAACTTTTACTTGGCCTATCAGCCTGAAGCTGCAGAGAAAGATTCAGCAGTCAACAGCCCCAAAACTGTGCAGAACAGAAGCCGATAACAGTTCAGAAAAACGATATATGTACGGTGAGCTCTGGTGAAAAATCAATTAACACATCCAGAACAGCAGGACTTGTCTGAGTGTGTGTGTGTGTGACACATCAGTCCTCCAGCAGAATAAACTCCATGTTCCATGTATTCCCGGCGGCCTCACCTGTCGACAGCAGGGTGGTGGAGCGGCCGCCCGTCCTGAGGAGACAGGTAGCTGTAAAACGCAGATCCTCCCACCACGCGGATGTTGAACAGCACTCTGGTATTCTGAAAGAAGAGAGGCACAAACACTGTAAAGCCACCAGGGTGTATTTATGCCTATACATATTTATTGTAAGACTATAAACAACAATATAAACCTCCAGGACTCCAGGAGGCTTCATCTCCCACATGAAGCCTCCCACACATTTGATTTTTTTGTTGATCACAGCAGTTCTACTAACTAACTAAACAACACTAGTCTTGCATGTCCCTCAGGATGATTATTAATAAGTTCGACCGTCTGTCTTTTCACTTTCTGGTGTCATCATCAGGTATCATTATTAATTGGTCCAATACTCTGATTGATGACCAAATATCCTGCTAAACTAATGACGTTCCCATCAGCCTCGGCTGTGCTTGGTGTTCAGTGCTAATTAGCAAATGCTAGCGCGTTAACTCGCTGAACCTAGATGGTGATGAACATGGTAAACAGTACACCTGCTTTACATCAGCATGTTACCATCGTCATTATGAGCCTGTTATTGTGCTGACGTTAGCATTTAGCTCAAAGCACCGCTGTGCCGAAGTGCAGCCTCAGACGCTCACAGTAAGTCTAGTCTAGTTAAGGTCTAAAAACAAGCACTGATTCACCACCACAGCAGGAGTGTCACGATGGCAAAATGAGAACACTTAGCTCAAGGTTTTAAAGAAGCAGCAGCAACATTTGTCATGACGTTGCTGTAATCAGTTCGGAGACTTCAGACCATAAAAAGTGTGCCGAAATGTTTCTTTATGAATCCAATATGTGCGTGCAAAAGAAGCGGGACTACCTTAGTAACATGTCCCTTTACGTCAAAGAAAATAAATGTTTTTCTAAACTGCAAATCAAGTTTCAGGACAAGCATTGTTCAGACTATAGGTTCAGCAATGATTTCTCTCCCTTCTTCTGTCTCAAAAGAGTGGCTTTCTGCAGCAAAGGATTATTTCAAACATTTGAACCACCAGCATCAGATGGAATGGGTAAGATTTACGAGTGACCAGGGATCAGGTTCGATCAGTCTATCGAGAAGATTGGGAGGAAGGCTTTAGTCTTGGCACATGAACCAACATCAACATGTGATGATAAAATCAAAGTTCACACCCAGCACTTGACTTTAGTGCACTTATTTGTTGCTGGCACATGGTGACGAAGTCTTGTTCATTGAATTGCACTGAATTGGCTGCTCAAATCTATTTCAAAATGCTGAATTGGGAGTGAGTGCCGCATTTTTACTCTCTCGGGGTTAACTTTATTTATTGCCGTGAACCGGCTAAAGCAACAACAAAAAAGACAGAGGAGAACAAAGTGGGCCATCGTGAAATACAGGCCGAGACCGGCACCTGATGTTTTGAGCTCACAGCAGTTCAGCTTGAATCAACACGTAACACCTCAACGCGGAGCACCATGTGAGCGCTTTGTTTGCGTTCAAAGTATCATTTTACAGAAAGAAAAAAAACAATAAACCCCCTAGATCATCAGACTACTCGCTCATATCACTCTCAACTGGACTGGAAAGCCGAGTCGAGGAGAAAAAAAGGAAGAACAAATATTGTACCGATATCTTCTTGTCCTCAGTTTGAAGCCTGCTGATATTACTCTGAGATCTGCTTGGATTGGAGGTGCTTTAAGAGCGAAGGAGCGCTTTGCAAAAATGAAATTGATTTTGTCTTGTTCCAGTGAAATCTAGTGTTGTAGCTGCTGGCGGAGCTCAAACACAAACACCCACTCTGAGTCCTGAGAGAGAAGCTCCATCCAGCAGGATCTTTCTGATGACAGGGAGCGCACCAGAGAGGACAGCTCATTCCTAAAAAATATTGACATGCTGAACACACGAACGAACGGAATGAACAACCCTGAGGGGAAGTTATACAACAGAATTACTGCCTCACGTATGCAATACACAGTACTGTTTAAAGTAGCAGTAGTGCCAGCTATATCTAATACTGCAGTAGTTACTACTTGATGCTGTAACAAATAACACATGCGGAGCCGTGTAACCAACACCGTGTAACTCTTCTCCTCGGCGTTTCAGCATCGTGTGTTTACGGACACTGCAGGTATCGAACCTCCACGTCGTGCTTAGTGTGATGCTTTTTCCACACGATTCATCTGTCATCTACAAAACAACAGCGCTAGATGACAAGTGTAAACCCCAAATAAGTTTTCTTTTCATTACAGACTTGCTTGGGCTCACTGTGAGTGCCAGCGACTTGTGAGGCTTGTTTGCACACGTGAAGACCACCCAAAGAGTCCTACCGACTTCTTGGGAATGGAGTTTTTCTCCCGAAACACGGTTTCAAAAACCAGGAGAAAAATCCTTTAAAACACGACGCATACATTTCAACACCTTCCAAAGGTATTGTGTTTGCAAAGCTTCTGACTGCTTCAACTGCTACACGTTAAATATTGAATTGTCTGTGCGCTCCTCAAACAAGAGATTTTCCAGTTACGATCATAGCTTAGCTTCACGTAAAGGCTGTCGAGCTCTGTATTTCTCCACATGTTGAAGTGGTTTTGCCCGGGGCTCAAATGAGAATATTTTACGTTGAGGAGTTGAGGATGGTGGTTTCTTTTTCTAACCCTGTAAAACCAATATTTTAATTGAAAGAGTGTAAGGAATGATTTAAACAGTATGTGCCTGCTCTAAGGTCAGATGAAAACAGTCCCGGAGTGCTGCAGGGAAGACGTATTTTTGTAGGCCGACCGCTAACGTTAGCATCGCACTGTTTCCCTCCACAGAAAGCCAACAGGGTTTCTCCATTGGATTTTTGCAGAAAATAATCTCTGTGGCAAACAAGCGTTTATGATACCTAACGTTACAAGTTTCGTTCTGCAAGATAATAATAAATAATCAGCGGACGTAAAAATCTAACGTTGGGCTGTAAACGAACTACACCATGGTCCCACGAGGCTGTGAAGGCGGACTAGATGCAAGATGATGTTGTGGAGTCTCTTTTAGAAACTTGTTAGCAACCGCCTTTTTGAAGAAACGTAAAAGCACACAAATTCACAAGAGGGGTTGTTTATTGACGTATTTTACAATGAAGGTGTTGTCGCAGCCTGTAAAGATGACATCGAACCCAGCAACAGAGACAGGTCACTGGCTAGCTAGGTAGCTTCAGGTCAGGAGCGGTGGGGAGTGAGGCTCAGGGAGCGTTAGAACCGGTGCTGCTTCATTAAAGCATAGAGGATTAGCAAGCTAGCTAACTAGCCAGCTGTTTGCTAGTTCGGTTACTAGCTTTCTAATTACGCCGTGTTTTAATGCTACACTGGGTACACAAAAATGAGCCGAACTAAGTTGTCACTCTTTCCTACGCTGTGACAAGAGTGTGTGGTTGAAGCATTAGGTCGTTAAATTTCACACCGTGACCGAGTTATACTGCTAGCTGTGCTTTAGTGAGCATCAAGCCAGCCACTGCTAAAAACATGATGTCAGTAGCAGGAAATACGTGCCAGACAAGGCCACGCTCTTTTGTTTTTGAATTGCATCTTTGCCTAAAATTAAACATCCACTTGTGTGTGTAATTCATTGATGCAAGAAAACTACAGATTCTGTGGAGATGAAAGATTTAGAGCAAACATCTGCTCTGAGCACTGCTCCAGCAGACTGATTATACTGAACGAGCCTGGTTTTAATCAATGGCTGACAGCATGGAGCACAAAGGAGACAAGCACATCTCCAACAGAGTTACTGAAGACGTTGCACCTGACTCTTCTCCTCCTCCTCGCTCTGCTGGCACTTCTCAAAGAGCACCGAGTAATACGCAGCGAGCTGGTCAACAGCTTCCGTGCACGGCCCCGTGCGGCTCTTTACTGCAGCTGTGTGTCAGCCGTCAGCAGCGGCCGATTGGAGATCTGTTCGGCTACTGTCACTACGTCCCGTGTTGTACAGTAGTCACACCAGCCGTGGCAAGTAAACAAGGCAAGCGCGCTTCTGTCACGCCTCACCTTCTGAACCAATCAAGTCTCATTAGCACACCCAGCCCTACAGCCTGTCACAGCAATATATTTGCAAATATATTACAATGTACATTGTGAGAATGACATTTGTGCGGCACCACAATCTCTAATTGTCTGACAATTTAAAATTAAAGCATTATTTAACGTATAAGATGGAAAAATCTGACAAATGATGTGAAATCAGCGTTAATTCATTATTAAAAATATGCTGTAGCCCTAACTCCTGAGGATAAGCGGGTTAGCCAGCTACCTTTGGGCATAACAAAGAGGTTCCACCATCACAATGTAATAAATGCATTTTAATTTGCATAATTGTAAGAATAAATTTCTGACAGTAATTGGTTCAGTATAAAGAAGCTTATTTAATCACTGCAGTTCAGGGGACTGAAAGATGAATCAATGATGCGATTATTGTAAAAAAGAAAAGAAAAAGTGGAGCCCCTGTGTCTACTGTATTGCTAATTTAGAGTTTTAAAAAGGGCTCTCCAAAGATCCACTCATTTAGTTTCCAGGATGACATGAGCGAACAGCCGTAAGTGTGTCTCTGACTTTCTTCGACTGTAAGTGCCGCTCTGTGTGTCAGTGAGTGCCTGTCCCAAACCAGTTAACCTGGCCGTGGTCTGGTGTGCCAGCGGGTGCAGCGAGAGGAAACCAACTCCTTTCTGCCTCCAGCTGGCACTTTAAGCTCTCCCACCTGCACCACACAGGGCCGTTGTGCGGGCATGCTTCTCTCTGTCCCGAGCCAATAAACCCTGTCTCGGAAACAGGTGCGCCGGCCCGGCCCGGCAGGAGGCAACCGTGTCCCCATTTCCGCCTCGAAACAAGCCCGCCCACGCGACGGGGCTATTAAAACGTACGTTTTACAAGCACCATGGAACAATTTCTATTGACTTATTACACAGGGCTGCATGGCAAATTGAGTCCAGGTGGGTTTCTGGTTGAGATGCAGTAAATACAAAACAGAATGAATAATAAATCCACCGCTCTAGCTGGCAGTTGCAGAATTCACAGTTGATATCTTGGTGCGAATGAAAACGGTACTTTTTTGTCCTTATAGCCTTATAGTCTGTATGCCGTTGCATCAACTTGCAGAAGCTTTGAGATGCGTTTCATGTCAGTCTGCGGGAGTCTGAACGGGAGTCAGTGAACGCCCACCAGCTCCCGGCACTGTGTTTTGATACAACCCCCTAAAACTGAATTGCCTCACACGGATCAATTATCACATCAGCTGTGCACAGTACCTGCGCCTGAGCTCCATTGATCATCAGGTAATAAAGCTTGCTGAGGATGCTCTGCTGCAGCTGGTCCCAGGAGATAGACCGGTCCTCCCTCATCAGGAACGGAGGTCCAAACCTTGAACAAGGAAAAAAACGTTTACACACAACGCCGCTGCTCAGCCGCTCCACATTAGCTCACACGTCCCCTCCTCCTATTGTAATGTAAATAATTATTTATTAACTTTATCGGCACTAGAGCAGAATTCTCATTACAGCGTATCTATGGAGGGACGGAGAGAGATAATAAGGAGTGAAAACAGATGATTAGGAGAGGGACAAGCATCCCTCTGAAAGGATGGATCACATGACACATTCACCATAATACCCATTTAATTGAGGGCAGCCCTCCATTATATGCTTGAGATTTATTAGTGTGAGACCATGTGAGCATGCATGCGCATAAAGAGACCAACAAAGACACACATATATGCACATACACAGTGAATGACTATGGGATGCTAATAAACTGCAGATTAATCAGTAGGAAAAGAGGAGCAATGGACGAAAAGCTTGTGCAGGCACCATTTCATCCTTTGAATTATTGCATGTTGTGTTTTTTAGCTTCTTACAAACATCGGAACAGAAGCACATCCTCAGTCATGCAGTTTTCCCATTAGATCACACATGGATGCCACTGAGTATAAGAGGTTAGATTACTGTTCAGGATGGTAAGCATTAACATTCTGTGGTGGCTGAGGAGCAGCTGCAGCGACCACGACACGGGATGAGACTGTATACACTTCAAAAACAACTTAAAAGTACAATTAGTTCAGTTAGAAATGGCAAGAAACAAAATTCCACTCTCTTGCTGCGTGGTTTGTGGTAAATGGGTTTAGTGTGTTGAATCTAAAGTGCATTGTGTGAGCAACTCTGTAGCGCCTCCTTCTCACAGCGAACGTTTCACCTCCCCCAAAGCAAAGATGCACACAGAAGTCTACATTTAATCTTATTTAGTTTTCCCTCTTAAGAGATTTTGCACTGAAATCGATTATCTACACGCAGTGATCTATGTTTATCTCCACAGAATCAGTAGCAAGATGTAACAAGTAAAATCTAATTGTTAACTTTCAGGATTGTTGTAATGCAAAAACGAAAGCGAACATTTAGCTTTCACACATCACACATTTAAACTTAATTAAATCCTATCTGTTGGTTTCACAGTTTCGACAAATCAACGACAACTGAGAGCTTTCACACTCAGCTGACTTTCAGAAATGTACCTGTGATGCTATTCTACAGAAAACCAGAGCGAAAGACGAGTCGGGGACTCCAATGTCATTTTCTTGGCACACACACACACACGAGTCCTCCAGCTGTCACCTGATGAGAGCGAGATCGGCGGGTGGTTTGATCAACGAGGGTGAGGCGTTTGAAGGGGAAAGTGAGACACGGATGGGATTAGACTTTCCCAGAGCCGCGCTGGCGAGCTCACCTCTATCGATCCCTCTGGACTCTGTCAGGGAGACGGATGTCTGATCTCTGTTTAGTGCCAGATGTCAGATTCCTCGGTCGGGAACTCATCTCACAGTGAGATGCGAGTCCTCTCTGTAACAGGCCGCTAACGTGACCTTGACGTGATAGACTGTGGGCTGAGCCGCTGCACAGAAAAGCTGGGAAACTGACATTTTGCTGAGGCTGAAGCCTCTCCTCGAGTTACTGCTGCGACGCCTGTCGTGCTCTCCGTCGCACGGCACACGGTGATAGAAGTGACTCATTTAATACGTGGAATTCACAGTCATGGGTGTCTGGTTTCACATGGAAGGAAACAAAAAGCAGGGTTCTCATTTTTAGCTGACAACTGCAGATTTAATCAGCTGTAGCTGGGTAGTGTAAGCTGATGCTTTGGTTGGTTGGAAACGTTTTTTTGTTGAGTTCAAAATGAGAATACTGTAAAGCAAATAACAAAAAATGTTTTTATTATTGTAAATTAAATGTGCGAACATGCAAAGAGTTGTATTTGTTGAGATCAATGAACGCTTTAAAACTTTTTTAGTGCAGATAGCTAAACAAAAGTGCAAACTACCCAAATACAGCAAAGGTTTTCATCATATTGACGCCAGAATCAATCTTTAAACCGAGACGCAGGTATCCGTAGTGTAGATACTGGACGTTGGATTGTTTGAGTGTTATCTTCGCAAAAGCAAACAGAGAGCGGGACTGAGCCCTTAGCTCTGATAAAGTAGCACTGTGAGCACCACAGGGTGGATGATCCCGTCAGGTATTGACTTTGGAAATAATGCTAGGCTACGTCTGTAGGTGGTGATCTGGTTTGCCAGGCATGCCTACGTTTGTAGCTTCCGTTGAAGCAAATAAACAAACTGCACAAACACCCTCCAAACTCTGGAGGATCACTCTTAATTAGAGCCTCATGCACATCACTTCAACATGAGAAGGAGCCCAAAGCTTCACCAGGCCTGCCTTGCCAAGGGTCACTTGGTATAATTACCTCACAGTCTGTTGGCCGCCCCCTGAGGCGTTGCACACCAACATCAGAATCTTTACGGGGACGCCCTGGTTGAGGAACTCTGAAGACAAGGTCCCAGAGGAAGGTAACCTCTGACCCTCGGGACCAGAGGAGTACGGAGATGACGGGAGGCTGTGATGGTACCCTGGGAGAGGAGGAGGAACACGGCACAGAGTCAGAGAGGAGGTGTGAGAACAAACTGGAAAGAGATGCTACGATGAGTCAGAGGAAGAGGAGATAAAAGCGTTTTGTATTTTTTTTTACCATAGATCAACCACAGTCTCTCGATAAATCCTGCTGACACTGATCACATACCGATTTCACATTCTTTTGGTACAGGTTACCTTCAAAGACTTTACACTGATGGCTGACATCATGACGTACGCGGTATTTCACGTTTTCTCTCCTCGGGAGGAAGACAAACCGATTTCCTGTGCCGAGAGTGTGGCCGTTAAACTTAACACCTCTAACAAGGAGCGAGGAGGAGAAATTGAGACGTATAAAGTGGCGAGGCAGCAGCTTTCTATTTGGGGAGCAGTGATTCAGAGGGGAGAACAGATGGACCAATGGCTGCCTGCACTCTCAGCAGGAGGCATTATCTGATGCAGCTTCTGCTCCACATCCCGTCCCGGTGGGGGGGCCAAGCAGCGCCACTTCTCCTCCGTCTCTCTACCGACACAGAGGAGTGTGACTGACTGGGCTCAGCCAGCGGGTCAGCTCTCAGAAGTTCACGGTGATAAATCACGCGGAAAATTTGACTCGCAGACACAGACGAGAAGGTTATCGATTGACCGACGCCGGCTGCGGCTTCACCAAAACGTTTCATTAAACCCACGTTGTTTACACCTGAAGCCCGATTCATCACTGACAAAGCAAATGCCACCGCTGAGCGAACCTGTTACAGAGATCCTTGCGTCTGTGTTGGCACAGCGCTCCTCTTACAGGGATAACGGAGGTGTGAGGACGTTAAGCACTGTGCGAGGGGGCGGGACCGAGTCCTGACCCCTCGAGCATGAGAGCGATGATGAGAATGCACAGCTTTTTTCATGTATTAATGTCGCTCTAATAAAGCAGGTGGTTAAACTTGCTGGAATAACGTGCTGTAATTTACACGAGCAGCGACCTCGGACAGCTCTGGGGATGATTTATGGGGTAAAATCTCATATTAAATCGCCGCCGAAACATGTTCATGAAACAGCAGTAAAATACGGAGGTCACCTCCTGGCCTGTCCCGCTAAGATTTATACAGGGACGCTGGGGAGGAGACCAACCTCTCACCGCTTATTAAATCACTTTTTATGGCTCACTGTCAAAAACGCTACTGTTTCTGCACATTTTTTCAAGGCTCGTGTCAATTTTTCTTACCTTGTTCACTGGATGAATAATGGTGGGAGTATGAGACACGCGCGCGCGCGCGTGTGTGTGTGTGTGTCTACTTCTGTAGACAATTCCCATGTAGCTGTAGTGGAAATGGCACTTCCAGGACAACACGGCTGTGTGAGAATTGTTAACACGCACACACATCACACCAAAAGTTCCCCGTTCAGCCGGCAAACACCTGTTGATCCTAATCTCTTATTAGAACTGATTGTAAGAAGCCGCAGGAAGCCTGTGACCTCATCGTTCCTCTGCACTCTCAGCCGTTTTCATTGTGGAGCAGACACACAGGATGAGCCAGACTAAACACAGCCACACTATGTGGAAGCCCATAATTAAACACCTCTGCCCCTAAAGGGATCTACTCTGCCCACAGCTCCCCCCCCCCATCAATCCCATTAGCTGTGCAGCCACCATCGAGGTCTCTGAACATAGGAGATCAGACAAATGCATGCACAGGTTATGACTCATGGCTTATTTTGATCGTCTAAATATCATTAGGTTTTAAATACTTTTAACATACTATATAATTTGTTGACACATAATTCATGAACTGATGATCCTTTGCCAAAGGAAAGATGAGATGATGTGACTTAACAATCACTGCTGTGTATGATTTTTATGAATTTGTGCTCCAAAGTAAATGACTTAATACTCGTGTTTCCTTCTTCTGTCTGGACAGAGCGGTGCAGCCCCCCCCCGCGGGTTGGCTGGATTTATGTTACAAATGTTTCATGCACAAATTGGCAACGTGTGGCAGGATGATGCAGATAACAAATTCTACCAATCGTATCATTTAATTCGATGGAAATGCTAAACAAGAGTTCACAGGCAGGCTGGAGACTGTGAGGCCGTCATAGTGGTGCTGAACCTGAGCGCTAACGTCTCACAATGACAATGCTGATGTTCAGCTGGCATAACGTTTACTAGGGCTGTACTTTTTATATATAGACGTATATAAAATGATTTTCTCCCTTTATGTAGTCTTGTTTTTGAAAGGCTGAAAACCAGCTAATATACTGAAGCAGAATATTTCGTTAAATAACATGTTGTGAATTTTGGAAATTATTACATGTATCCTTTTTCAATAAATTTTGACTTTCGGACTTTACAAAGCTCTGGAGTTATTGGAAATGTTTGGATCAAAGGTCAGATGAAACTGAAAGTGCAAGTCACTGGACCTCATGCTGGTCTCTGTTGTTTATCACATGTTAAACAATAACAGTCCATAAAATAACAAGCAAAATCCAGACTACAGAAAGTGAGCGATTATCTCATGTAATGAAAACTGTGCGGTGAATGAGTCGGAGGACGACCCTGTTCTCTGTGTGTAACAGAGCCGAGCTCAAAGAATGTGAAGTGGATACTTCACGGTGAAAGCCAAATGCTCTTTAGCAGGTGATCTCATATTCAAGTCTCGTCCTTGGCACCAATACTCCGCACAATGACATTTTGTCAGCGCGCCGTCAAATGCCAAAGAACTTTAACGTGTGAGCTTTGAGAGTTTATACATTATTCATTTTCAATGTAAACTCCATTACTTGATTGCCATATAGTAGGTGTACGAAAATGATGTAATGTAACCACAACATTGTATCTCCACTTTCCTTGATTCACCAAGACGATACGTAAGGTATCACAGTAATGTTAAGAAGGTCTGTGCAGTTCTACAGGAGTGAAGGGCCTGTAGTCTGTCGACCACCTAAAGCTGCTGAAGCTAGAGTGGAGAAGTGGTGTGCATGGGGCTCTCGGAGCAATGCTCTGCATTCAAAGATTTTGGAGGGTGGTGTCTGTTCTCCGTTGCCCTTCACAAACACAACAGCAAAAGTGTGAGGAACGGATTAAACAGTGTTTATCTGCTTTAATGTAGCTTCCTAGTTACAGGAACCAAGTCTAACTACATTCATTATTGAGGTTACGCTGTTGTGTTATAAAAAGAACCTTTCACATCCACTTTGTAGTATTTTCTAACTGTGTGGAAGTCGGTCTCGGATGCCATCAGATTTTAAACAGCACATGAAACGTGCATGAGAACACGGGTAACATTTGGCCCATAATGTCAATCTCTCGTGATTGTTTTGGTGACATCAGTCTAAAGAGGAAAAAGAGTTTTATTTAGTGACGGTGGTTTTGGTATGGACTGGCACATGTTCAGGGATGCCGCCACCCAGGAGAATGACATCAATCTGGAGGAATTTACTTCAACAGTGACATCATATATCAGCAAATGTGTTGATGACGTGGTGATAACAAAGACAGTCAGGTCATTGCCCAACCAGAAAGCCTGGGTGAATGGAGAGGTAAGGGCACCATCCGAAGCCAAAAAAGCTGCCTTTCGGTCAGGTGACAAGGAAGCATACAGAGCAAGACTGAAAGCTGGCATCAAAGAGGCAAAGAGGAGGAGTCAAGAGAGACTGGTGAGAGACCTCAACACCAACAACACTGAAGATAAAAGCAGGAGCAGGAGCATCATGTGTGAGGCCACGTCGCCAGATGAGCTGAACACCATTTATGCTCGTTTTGATCTCCTCAACAAAGAAGTCAGCTGTCAAGTCTGCCCCGCCTCCAGAGGACCGCCCACTGTCAGTGTCCACAGAGGATGTGAGGAAAGCCCTGATGAGAGAGTGAATATGAGTAAAGCTTTCAACGTATCGCTGCCACAGGAGAGTGTTCCCACCTGCTTCAAGACGGCCACCATCGTTCCTGTGCATAAAACGTCTGCAGTGTCCGGTCTGAATGACTACCGCCCTGTGGCACTCAGCCCCATTCTGATGAAGTGCTTTGAGGAACAACATCCCAAGCAGCCTGGACCCTCACCAGTTTGCATACAGAGCCAACAGATCCACAGAGGATGCCGTTTCCACTGCTCTCCACTCAATCTGGAGGATAACAACACCTACATCAGAATGTTGTTTGTTGATTTCAGCTCAGCCTTCAACACAATCTCCCTCATGTTAACTGAGCACTCTGGGCTTGAGTACCTCATTCTGCAACTGGTTATTAGACGTCCTCACAAACAGACCCCAGGCAGTTCGGATTGGCAGCCAAACCGCCTCCACTCTGGTGTTGAACACCGGAGCCCCCCAGGACCGTGTTTTCACCGCTGCACACCCACGACTGCTACCCCAAACACGAAGAGAACTCTGTTGTGAAGTTTGCAGAAGACACAAACAACAATGAGACTTCATATAGAGAGGAAATCAACAACCAGTCGGTAAAAGCCAAGGAGGTGATTGTTGATTTTAGAAAAGAGGAGGTGAAGACACACAACCGTGTCTACATCAATGGAGCTGAGGTGGAGGAAGTTAGCAGCTTTAAGTTCCTGGGAAACAGCATCACAAACAACCTGACATGGTCCTCACACATCTCCATCCTGGTGAAGAAAGATCTGTATTTCTTAAGGAAACTTAAGAAGGCAAAATTCCCGTGCCAAGTTCTTGTCAACTTTTACAGAGTTGCAATAGAAAGCATCCTGACTGCAAACATTACAAACTGGCATTGGATGTGTCCGGCACAGGACAGGAGAGCAGCGGGTGATTAAAACCGCCCAGAACATCATTAGTACCCATCTACTGAGCATCAGTGATGATGGTGAGAAGAGCTAAGGGGATATTAAAAGACAAAACTGTTCACCCTGCTGCCGTCTGGAAAGAGATACAGAAGCATCGGCTGTCGAACCACCAGACCTCCAAACAGCTTCTTTTAAATATGGTGCAATGCGGTCCCTCTTCTCATCAGGTTACTTATAGATCAAAATGGTTGCAGCTTTTTTTCTGTTTTTAGCGCAGTGGTCCCCCAATAAGCAGTAAGTGTGCTTGTATTCTCAGATCACTTTGAATTAATTTGAATTACACAATGGTCATTTTTAGGCACGATAGGCTAAGACATTCTCACCATCCGTATTACCTGGCACAGACGTCACCACTTATGTGTCATTACCGTAACACCTGAAAGTCTCTAATGCTCCGGCGACCGGCGCAACAATGCCCAGTCAATACGTCTGTGACCCAACATGATCTTATAAGACAACAATGTCTGACTTTAGTGTGCAGAGGAGCGGTGAGAGGACGATGTCAGAGATTACTTTAGTACAGCAGGGAGGATGGGAGTCAGCAGCGTGAAGGTCGTGCATCATTGGTCGGCCTTTGGCGTGATCCCAAGTCCTGTTCTTTTTTCATTCACAGCAGACACACAACAGCTCTTTACTGCCTCTAATCGCCCTTTACGCCAGGAGGATGTTTAAAATCTAAGTGTGTGAGTGAATTACCTCAGAATCTACTGAATAGATGCCAGTGAATCACAATCCAGTGTGTTATGAGTAACAAGGAAGCTGACCGTTAAAACAGGGTTTCCCTCAGATTTCACCGCGCATCCTCTTTTGCTTTAATTAAAAGACTGTCTGCATGTGCCAACCAATCAGGAAGCTGCTCCCCAGACTCCACACTTACCATGTGGCTTAATCGAGCGCCTCAGGACATAATCCACACTGATAACCTTTCCCTAACATTAGCACTGCACATAATGCTGCTTAGATTACCGAGCTTAGCTTTAATGAGATCCCTGAGAGTTTGTTATTCTGTCTCATATCTTTTTACTTTCATTTCAGTATTTATGGATAATTGATTAAGGGTCTCTCAGGGATCAAAACCTTTTAGATTTGGTAATTCCAGAAGAGGCATAAAGATCTAATTTTTAATGGCGCCAGACAGCCTGAAAGCAATACAGAGCACTGTTGTGACTGGAAAGGAAAAATGTAATGAAGGTGCATTTTATACGATAATGTGTTATTTGACTGCCGTTTACTCCTATGATGTTTTTATATTTTATAGCTTTGATTAAAAACAAACAGCGAGGCAGAAAATACTTGTGCTCTGTAGTTAATTACGTTACTCAATATTTCATTTTTGCACATAAATAATGTACTAGAGGCTGATGGGATATTTATCAATCGGGAAAGTAAAACGTTTTCTTCAATCAAGTATCAAAACAAGCTAACGATGCCTTTTTGATATCACATGCCTTGGGGTTTTTGCCTTGGAAAATAAGACTTGTTTTTCATCGTCCTCTCCTGGTTTCCTCCCAGGGTCACAATTCTTCTCTCCTGAACTGTGACTGATTACGACACCTTTTACCCCTTTTTCTCGATCACAACCTGTTTCAGGTACATCGGGTAGAAGCTGTTTCCACCCGGACAACAACACAGCTACACTAAATGTTGTTTCTAGTCAGATGAGAGCTGCTTGCCGCACATCATAGCGTGCACTGCCCAAAGTTGGGCTTTGCGTGATGCAGCGAAAAGCCACCATGGCGCGGCGCTGATCATTGGAAATAACGTACGTTCAGACTGAAGAGGAGCTGTTGTTGTGGCTTTGTGTCTGAAAGTCTGTCTGTCCTCCGTGAGTGAGAGATGGAGAGAGAAATGCTCAAGCAGGGGGAAAGATGAATGAATAAAAGAAGGAATGTGATAGAAGACATGAATGAAAATAAGATCATGAATATTAGTTCATGGAAGTGATTCACGCCAAAGGGGCCAATTATTCTGTATTCTTTGCTTAGAATTAAGAGTGAAATCAAAAAGTATATAACATATAAATGCTATTGCAGTGTACTTGCACTATTCTTTAAAAAAATCACCACAATGCAGGAAACAGCCTGTTTTCGAGGTCTCGATGTTGGCTGGCATGCATACGCCTGCTGTTGATGTATTGACTCCAAGATTTGGAGCAAACCAGCACATCTCCCGAATGTGTGGATGTTCCTTTAAAGACGACGACATCTTACACGTTTTCTCACAGGCCAAACGTGTCAATGTGAACGACAGGACGATCTGCATTGCACAGAAAAGTGTTGAGTGGTGATGCCGAGTCTCCATATCAACCCCTGCAGGCTGAGCCAGTGAGAACCCGGGGGATTCAGTCTGTGCCAGCATGCGGACCAGCCAGACTGTCTTGGGGGTGTGGGGGGGGGGGGGAGCAGCACTGCTCGCTGCGGTCATTGAGCAACATAATTAAAGCACCAAAAGTCATATTTCTCAGGTACAACAGCAGCGTTGACACAGTGCTGGGAAAACACTTACAGCCCTGTGAGACGGGACAACAGAGCAGAACCGGTTTGTTTACACCACAAAGCAAGAAACAAGGGGATAGTACGCATTGAGCACACATTTTACATCAGCAGCTGGGAAGTAGAAGAAATTAAGACATAAATCTGATGTGCACAGGGGGAGATGTAATTCGCACGGCTCTATAGGAAGTTATATCCTTCTTAATGTGCTCTCCAAGGGCCCCTGCAGTAAAACACATTCCCTGAGGGTTTCATTAAGCAAAGTAAATTAATAAAATTGGCTTGTTTGTTTACAGATCTGTCCTGTAAATTCACATTAAAGTAGAGGGAAAAAACCTGAATGCAGTACCACAAACAAGTTCTACTAAAAGTCAGTTATGTGATCGCTGCACACATGCTGGTTATACCTGAGATCCGAGCAGAGCCTCCTCTGATGTACAGGGGCGGAGCCTGGAAGGCGTAGATGACATCATTGTCAGCTATGCTGGTCAGATCCTCCTCATCGAAGAAGGAGCGCTGGAAGCCTGTGGAGTACACCTCCGTCAGGATCACCTGGAGACAGACAAACACACACACACACACACACACACACAAACACACACGTTAGATTGCATAATGCTGTGGGAGTGAACTTTGAACCCACTTGATGGAGAACCATCCTTTGCACTATTATTCCCTCTAATCTCAGAGCTTAGAGTGAAAAATCAACCAATGGCATGCAAGGAAAGGTCAGAATAAGATCCACAAATCACTGTAATCGCACTCACGTGAAAGCCGAGGAGCGCCGTGCTGCTCCACCATAGCTGCGGCTTCAAATAGGAAAACCTAAGTGGAACCCGGGTCCACGCAGAGTATTTCACCCTGCTTTATGTTACCTGGTCTGGGGAAATCTTCCCCTCGTCAGCCGCCATCCTCCTCAGGCAAGCCACGGAGCCGAACAGAGGCACAGCCAGCCCGACCCGCCGGTACCGCTGTCCTTTGGTGCTGAACACCAGAATCACGCACAGCGACCTGCCACAGATCGGAGGAACACAATCAGGGACGGCGGGAAATAGAACGACCTCGATTTAGACTGCTGAGCCATTTTCTACCGCAGCCTCCTCTACGGCCCCGCGAAGGGACAAAATAAGACTTTCATGAATAAATCAATACACTAACATTAATAATAGATCATTAGGACTTATTTTTATGTGTGCCAAATAATGGAATCTCTATTGCATTTTTAAAAACAGGGAGCGCTTGGCTCTGACCTCTGCAGAGGCAGCGCTGACATGAGCAGGGTGCTGGGACATAATGGCTTTTTGACTAACAGTACACTGAGGAGCCCGACCAGGTACCTGTGGAAGTCTGTAGCTGGAGGCATAAAAGGACATATGAGGTATCACATGGAGAAACTGATTGTTTTATTTAGAAATGAAGACATTTGCACATGTGCACTAACGGCAGGACATTGCCTCTGAAAGATACACAAATAAAAGCAAAACCAGAAACTTCTAACCCAGAAGACGGTGTCCATGAATTAGAAAAAGTTGACCAAAGTCATTGGGCTCGTATAATGAGGCTCTGAGCGATGAGGAGTCAGAGTGATAGCGTTGGATGTCACGCAGGTTCCAGCGAATACAGAGGACGTCCAGCAGCAGGACAGGTGACTGAACGCTACTCTGCAGCTGAGGCGGATGTTTTCTACCTTCACAATGTGTGCCCTCTAAGAAATAAAGAATAAATACACAACCAAGGTCTCTGCAGTCTGTCACATGTCAGCACTTCACCTCCAGACTTGTTCTGGTTTAGCTGCTCGGCCCCTCAAATAAAGCTGAGCAAATAGATTGATCTATCTAAGGGAGGAGTTTCCAACCTTTTTTGCCCTGTGGACAATTTTGCTATTAACAACAAAAAATACTGAAGCTCTGCATTTCTTTGTAGGTGCTTACTAAATAAAAAATATAGATAGACATCTCAGCAACACTCAGGTAGAGGCTTCAAACAGACTTCATTCACCTGTGCATTGTGTTGGGGGTATAATTGTTGCAGTAGTTATAATTAGTCCAGCACGGAATGTTCAGAGACCCGGTACCGGTCCACAGCCCGGGGGTTGGGAACCTCTGATTTAAGGAAACTAGTTGGTTTGTATTCTTCAAGCGTATCAGAAATATATTTTGGCCCCATAAAGTGATTTATAAACTAGCAGCAAGTCTTTGAAGAACTGTTCTGGGACTAAATGGAAGCCAGTTTAAAGATTCACCAACACGAGTTATACATAATTCTAGTGGTTCTTGTCGGGCACAATTATTGTTAAATCTGACACCGACATGTTTACTCCTGTTTCACTCATTTGTGTGCAGAACAGGAGAAAGTACAGTACAGTGATTGGTTGCACTAATCAAGCCTCAGCTCAATGAGGTGTCCCCAATTTATGCCAATTAGACGTTTCATACCAGCATGGACAAAACAAGACACGGTGACTCGGTAGAGGAGACTGGATTCTACTGGTCACAGCATCAATTTGAGATGCAGTTGATAACAATATTCTTGACTTACCACCCTGATTGTTTCGCTCCCATCTTTTGATGCGATATTCAGTTCAAATATAACTTAGCCTATAGGTATTTACGTGTTCACTCATTTGATTAATGGTCCGTGTCACGTTCACACAGCAGGCTTTACCATCAAGTGTAAATAAAATCATCCGACATGCAAAGAGCAGATGGCTGCCAGTGGACAGAGCCCAGCCTGTCTGGATCGCTGGGCAAAGAGAATGTTTGCTGACAAACAATATGTGTTTACGGCTTACAGACGTGATCTTGCTAGGAGTGAGCTGAACTCTTCACACAGAGAGATGCGTTCAAAAAAAAAGTATTTTCAAAGACAATCCATCTGTTCTGTCCTCTTTCTATCCCTCAGAAGTGTTTTCTCTCACCCGGTCTGCCACACAGTAAGAAGAGAGGACGCTAACTAAATACTCTCGACTTGGCTCGCTGTCAGAACAAAGCTCCTAAAAAACTTTCCCCCCCCAAATTAGAAGGGAGGCTGGCTCAACTTGCGTGACTTATTTCAAAAGACTAAACAGAAGAAACCGTGGCAAACCTTCAAATAGTGATCAGCACACCTCTGTGAGTCAACCACAGGAAAGAGTAGCATGCAGGTGCTGTGCTCATTTAAAAAAAGGTACATTTTAGCCTAGAAAGCTCTGACAAAGGCTTATGTTTAGATTTGAGGTTGTACTGTAGTATTATCGCTTTCACGGCAAGAATGAGATCGATGGGCCTCTCATTTCTGTGTGTTCAAGGTACAGTATTGAGGATTTAGTGGCACCCAATTATTGGGCACTCCTTTAGCTTAGCGTAGCACAAAGACAGCTAGCCTGTCCAAAGGTAACAAAATGTACCGACCAGCACTTCTGGTCAGTTTAGTTTAGAGCCAGTGAACTTTAGCCTGAGGGGTCAAACTCGGGTTGAGAAATAGATCAGCAGAAACCTGTAAAAGCTGAAAGTAGAGATCTCCTGAACAGGCCGACCCCTGTTGGTGACCTGACACGGAGGCTGACTGGGTGTTGTGATGCAAAGCTCAATAAGACATTGTTCCTCAGTGCTGAGAGTGTTTTCCACCAACTTTTCCTTCTTGATACCAGAGGTCCTACTGTCTGTAGTGCAGGAACAAAGCTGGGTGTTGTCCGGACTGTTTTCCTATTTTAATCCCTTTTTAAACGACTCAAGCTTAAAGAAATGGTTCCACATTTTCTTCCTTGAACACAGTTAAAATGATACTGCTTTCACATGTGTATGGTAAATATGAATCTACGGCTAGCAGCCGGTTGACTTAGCTTAGCATTGAGTTTGGAAAAATGTCTCTGTCCTAAAGGAACAAAATCTGTGAACCATCCCCACTCAAACTCACTCACTACTTAACACGTCACATGTTGTTTGTCAAATTTATTCAAAAGTCGAAGGTTAAAAATAACAAATCACAGTATTACAGAACGCAGTAACTTCGAAGCTAGGCTAGCTGTTTCCTTCTGTTTCCATTATTTGTGCTAAGCTAACAGTAAAAACCAGTATCAAAATAAAAAATTTGGATTTTACAGGGAGTTATTAGTTGGATTATTTCTTGGCTGAACGCAGTAACATCAGAGCTAAGCTAACTGTTTCATCAGTTCTATTCTTTGTGCTAAGCTAACTGGCTGCTGGCTGTAGCCTTATCTTTAATAGACAGATTCCTGTTCGTGTCCCATGTGAAACTAAAAGGCAACGTTGACGTTAGTCGTTAGTAAAGTTGGTCACGTGAGTGGCTAGTCTGAGTCGCTAGTCAGTCAGGTCAACGTCAGCCACGCTCTTTTAGTAAACCAGACTAAGTGGTGTTATTGTCTGAACCTAACTTAATTAATGTATAATACCTTTTTAGTATATTTTGAAGACACTATGCATGTATTAAGTGTATATTGACACGCCCCTCCTGACACGTCCAAAACTGAGGCTAGTGGAGCACCTCGAGCGTCAAGAACGCTGACCAAGCATCTGTATTTTGAGAGAGAACGTGTGGATTGCAAACAGCCGTGCTCACCTGGTCTGGCGAAGAGGAATTGGGAGTGAGATGCAGAGGAACGGGTCAAAGGTGTTGCTCTGCTTCATACAGTGGGGGCATGTCAGTGAAGATCTGAGGGGGGGGGAAAGCACACATTTACATTAGTCTTAAAAAACAACAACGACTTCCAAACTAATCTCAAAGTCCTCCTGATTAAGTGTGGCAGGAGAGGAGACCGTTTAATCTCGTCACCCAAGTGAACGACACGGTCAAAAATAAACGCGCAGAACCTCTTGATCGGATTGTGAGAACGGAAAAGATGAGTGATGTAACTGGTGAGAATTGAGAAAGACGAGCGGGTGGGGGTAGAAACCCCCCCCCCCCCGGGCTCCAAAGGGAAACCAGCACAGAAGCGGTTTCCATCTTGTTGCATCACTCTCAGCAGAGCTTCTAACGCTGCCGTTACGCCGACGTCGTTACCGGATCCCAAGCAGAGGGAAGTGCAGCGCTTTCCTAAGTGACGGCCTTTCTTCCTCTGAACACAGAACACTGACCAGATGTGTGCAGCGGTGATTTCCTATTACAATAGTTTTCCATTCACTCCCTTTGTTCATAATTAAGACTCCTTTCAATGAATCCCACTCGGTTTCACAGGGGGAACGTATTCCAGTCAGCTAATTATCTGAACAATGAGTCAGCGCGCCCACTGAAGGTAATGATTGCTGGAAGTGATTTTGTAATGTCCTGCAACCTAATTAAATCTTTTGTCCAGCATTTAGAGTTGATCCGTGCAGGATTTCCTGGATAAGACTTTCTGTAAATACCGAGTAATTAAGTGAATCTTGAAGAGGGGCCTTCGATCAACCTCTTTGATTACACGAATGAGAAAAGCACCAGTGTGTGTAGACGGTAAATACTTTGTACGCAAAGTGAAATGTAAATAAAGCTATCTCCATCGAAACCAGTGGTACACAAACAGAGGTACTTATACCTCAAACGGTATTTCTGCAGTTGACAGAGGATACGTGGAAAGATTGTGTAGTAGCTCAACTAATTTGGAAGAAATAGAAATAAGATATGATGAAATAAAAAATACATCCACATATTTAGTCAACACGTGAACACCGAGTCTAAACAGTTAGCTAGAACTGATAGAAGTAACAGAAACACTGTTAACAGTTAGCTAAACATAAAGTATAAATGTGTAATAATGTATAAAACATATAGTAGAACGAACACAAACTTGACCAGACCAACCTAAACACTGAAACTTAGATCGTATGAAACTAATTGTAACAATATCCACTTTGATCTAGTTGATAGTTTTCTATAACATGCAGTCAAAAATGGATCCACTGATCTTAAGGCTCAATCAATGCTCAGTAGATGTTTTACGCTCTTATTTCTAGAAGTGACGACCAGAATCTGGGGTGTCAAAGTTGTGCATGGAAGCTCCTACTTTCATTTTCAAACCAGCTGGAAAAAATGTTTAGTGCAAAAAGGGAATAAAAAAGAAAGATTGGATAGGGAATTGAAATGATTACGACACAGCCGTTAGAGAGAGAGAGAGCGTAACGTCTCTATCCACATTAAAACACTGTGGTGTGACTGTGAGTAACTGTATCAGAGTGACGGATGGGGCTGCTGTCTGCTCAGGTAAAACATGTTCCCCAGACACGTTATACCTAAAAAAAAAAGCAGAAAGGTCATTGAGGAGATAGCACTACAGTAGCAGTGAAATCTCTCACCATCAATGGATTTCAATAGAATGTTCGAAACTAAACATCTATGGATGAACAGATCTCTTTATGTCAGAATGACGGGGTGCAGCGCTAACGGCACTACTCTCAATTACTTTTTCATTTCATTTCTTTTATCATCGGCATGACGGACATAAATCTGCAACTGCGGGCGGTGAAATAACTTCACATATGACAGGTTTGATTCTGCGGCGCCACTGTGACACTATTGAGAGCACGCTGCTGCACATAAACTGAAAATAGACTTGTGTGAAGCATAACCCAGCCGCAGTACAGCACAGAGAGTGCGAGTACTCTGGGACACTTAAATCTCACATAAAGAAAAATCACGTTTTCTACATCACGGCAGACGTATATATCGATTAAATCAAGAAAGTGAATTGATTCATTTCAAATGGCAAAGTGTCTTTTGGAGTCATAAACCATGAATTAAAAACACTCCCCATCCTCTCGCTGCTTCTCATAACTCCCCAAGAGTGTGTGTGTTGAGTCTTTACAACTTCCACACGACATCCTACCATTGGGAAATCAAGCCACAGATGAACCGATCAAATGTGTTCTCCTTATAGGACGGCACCTGATGGGCTCAGCGGGGGAGGAGGCGGGGGAGTGAATACAGCTCTGTTCAAGCAGGCCCAGCTGACACTGGCTCTTAGTGGATCTCTCCCTCTTGGCAGAGCAGAATGGCCGCCCTACGGATGTCTTGTTCTCGCCAGGAAACAGTGAGGGTTCCTGCACTCCATGCATACAAATCACACTCAGCCTGCACTAAAACATAGATGTGCCCCGCGCCGCTCTGAAACACTTAAAAGAGAGGAAAAGGAGCAGAGGGAGAGGTGATATTCTGGTGATGCTCTAATGGAGGAAGCGTGCAAAGTTTGAGAGGTATGTATGCCGCCGTCTGGAATGCAGCCATGCTGAAGAGACCCCGATGGATGCTTTGCCCTACAACACACTGCTGGAGCTTTGGATCTTCCCCGGGTAACGCAGGTATCTGTAGCTAATTGATTTTATCTCCTAAGAGAGGCAATTAAAAAGAAAAAGTCTCAATGGGATCAAATTAAATAGATTGGCAGCTAATTCCTCTCACTGAGCCCGGCAGCTCTGCTCTGCCGGGGGATGAACGCTAGTTAATTCACCCCACTGACGTTCCCAAATAGGAAAAGGCATAAACCTTAATGTGTGCCTCATTCACTAACTGAAATATTACTTCACACACATCATAAGCAGACCCATTACTGGGGCTGCAAACTCTGATTTGGAGACGAGAGGGTCTCTCAGAGAAGGTTGTGTGGCAGTAAGACGAGCCGCGCCGAAACTGCAACCGCGTTCGTAATCTGAAACGCTCGGCTGCCCGTCAACCGGCCTCACTGTGATGAACGCTGCGCGACAGAGAGACATTTTCACTGCAGCCTCCGCCGACTGCCACAGCCAGAGATCCCAGTCTTTCATGTGATTTAAGATGTGCTTCCTTGATCAGAGAGGGTGAAGAGCAATAGAAGTATAAATCAGGTGAGAGCTGTGCTTTTGCTGTGCTTGAAACAGACAGCTCTGACGTTGATCGGCTCCAGAGTCTGACGACAGATAACATAGATTAACATCTAAACAAGTCTCGGCTTGGCCTGCTCGGACAGTGATGTAACGTGTTTGAACATTCATAATGGCTGCGATGATTGCACGGTGACAAACCGCGCTATTACAAGGATAATTCTCCGGTCCGTCAACTCAGGATGTTGGATCGCATCGGACACTGCATTGTGAAGCGCTACACGGGCAGTGGTGGGGCCTCGGGAGACTCCGAGGAACAGAGAGCGACAGGAGCCAGGAAGTATTGGTTCAAGGTCCAAGTCCAGCAGTGAGAACGCGTTCATCTCCATTTAAACCCGCTCTTAGCCCCGTGACGCGGGCTTCTTTTGCATCTTTAAGATGGACTCCGACTGTACGCTTACTGTAGATGTTAGAGTCCCTCTGTAAAGTTTGTGCTTTATGTAGATGCTCCAGCCCCGCTCACTCTGCCTGGCTAGCACGGTGTTTGAGTGGGTGAGAGGAATAAATTCTGGCTGCCAAGACTGCTGCTTCCTGTCTAGACACACCCGAGGTGTCACAGCTGAAACATTTGACAGGGAGGAGGGTGGCAATTAAGAGATGCGCTCTGACAGACGCATCACTGGCAGTCACACAGAGACGCCGATTTTCAGAGGAGCTGATGGTACTGACAAACTAGATATTAGCAGTTCTGTCTGGACTTACTGCTTTTAAAAAATGTATTAATCCAACATAGATCAGATTCTGGACCTCTTTAAAGAATCAGAGTGATCAGTGGTTCATGGATGGAGTCCAGATGGTGTTGGGCTTCTGCGTCAGCATCACGAGCTGAAGACAGACCTGACCGAATGAAAGAGCGCAGTCCCCAAAACATCACTGTAAAAAGCTGTGAGTCATTAACTGCAGAGTAAATATCTTCTTACATGACCGCAATAAATCTGCAGTGCAAACTTGCGAATGTTTTCTCAGACCAGACCAACACTTGGCACATGGATGAGTTGGCCACGTCGACATCTGAGTGACACTCCTCTCCCTTTGGGCCACAGCTGACAGGTGTACATATCATGTAAAATACAAATGGACTGAGGATGACTGACTGATGGGAGTCATGAGGACATCCAGCTGCATTAGAAATGTTGATTATACAGTAGGGTAAATTAAAATAAACTCTTTGTGATCCAAAATACACCAGACACATTCACAACCCCGATCACAGCACTCTGAATAAGTACTGGTACCGGGGCAGTTTTCTCTTCAGACCTTTTAGCATCACTACTCTTGCCTGCTTGTTAATTACTGTGCACATTTACCATGATACCAGCCAGGCATCTGTGTCTCAGAGGACCTCCGTGTAAAAGACAGAATGACATCTGCATTACGTCAGCTGTATCCAACAATTACATCTCATCGATGAAGCCGGAATACTATGTGTAAGCCTGGTGGACTGTGTGATGTGCACCTGTGTCTACGATGATATTTCAGTTACTGTTGCTACACTGGTCAAGCTTTCTGTTCACGCAGAATACATACATGCAGGAAACAGTGAAAGCATCCTCAGCAGTTCAACATCAAAGACATGTAAATAAAGAAACAGCATTGGTCTGTTATTGCAGTGTACAGCTAGTAAGTCCTAGTGTTACAATAAGGATAAATGTCACTTCATTCTAACACAACCTTGTTTAGCTGCTTAGCTCATACTTGGACAATTAGATTAATGCGTTATTGCTGGTATTTTTTACAAAGTATGTTTACAGGAGAAAGGCTTTTAGGATGACGACTAACCAGTGTGTTTGGTGAATATAACCCAACTTCAGATAAAAGCTTTGGCTGGTGTCACTGGAGCGTAAACTCCCCCAGATGCTAGAGCAGAACAGAGTTATGTTAGTCTACGACTCCCTGACAATGGGGAAATAATAGAAATAGAACCGACAGTGAACGGTTTTCTGTGTTCATTTGACTTGTTGAAAAGAAAATGGCAATTGTTACGTCGACAACACACGTCAGCGGGGCGGTAACGTGTCGTCACAGCCTTAGAGACAACTAGCCAGATGTGCACTAGTTAGCTCGCTAGCTTGCTAATTCCACCATGCTTTAATGCGACACTTGTTACAGGAAATGAGCCTAACAAAGTATTACGTTGTTACTATCACGTTTACTAAAGCACCATGCACAATGCCTCAAAGACAGAGAGCCCTGCTGTGCTTACTGTTGCAAAGTGATGTAGCTATGATGATACAATCACTGTTCAGGGGAGGAGTTTAGCGTCACCAAGACTTAAGAGGCCTTTAGATTTGTGTGTGTGTGTGTGTGTGTGTGTGTGTGTGTGTGTGTGTGTGTGGTATGTTAAGAGAGGAGACTCACTTGTACTGTGCCTGGAAATGTTCCTGGACAAAGCTGTGCTGGACTCCGGGCTGTTGGGACGGGTCAGGAAACAGCAGCTCCTCCGCTCCACCGGGGCCCTGCAGCACAGAGGAGGCCACCCATCAACACACCGCTGCCACACTCTCACATTCTTTACCGATCCATCAGAGGTTAGCTGGTTGCCATCATTGTCAGAGGAAACTCTTATGTTATTTTGTGGCTGTGCAACAATAAATATGGAAACCTCCCGTAGCTTGCAGCGTTTGCACATTCTTGCTTTTCCATGGCAATAAAGTGATTTTCAAAAGCACTGACCGAAACATAACCCTGTCTCGACTCTTTCATCTACTCACCCACAACAGAGACAAAGCTGGCCTTAGATGAAGATAAAAGAAGAGAAGAAAGAGAAAAACAGAATAATCACTGAAAGGAGAGGTAGCAAATGAGTGGGATGGCACACACCAGGGTGCCTCACAATCACCGCTGTGCGTTAACGACTACCGAAAGTTACTTTGTAAAGAGCGATGAATCTTTATTTAACGACTTATATAATGCAGTTTTACATATAATATCATTTGTTACACTTGGTAATAATGATGCTCAAATGTTATCTAACTACAAGCATCTCATCCTCCGACTCGTGAAGCGAAACAGTATGCAAAATGTATATTGTTGTTAAATTGCTGCTCAATGGGCTAATTTTTTTGGGGGGATCCTCTAGATAAGAAGATTAATACTACTCTCAGGATTAAACAAAGAACATATAATGTATAATGTGGACAGAGCCAGGCTACAGTGGTATCAGTCTTCTTATTTAGCTCACCGCAAGAAAGCAAAGAAGTGTATTTCCTAAAAGGTTAAACATTCTCATTCATTTGTGGAGGGGGTTGTGCAGAGGGCCAAATCTAAAAGTGCTTACAGTTCCAATAAGCTGTCACACTGAATCCGTTATCTCTGTACAGTAGCCACTCTATTTCACGCCTCACCAGCCGAGTAAAACGTCCTGAAAAACATTCCTTCAGTCACCAAGTGGTTCTGCTTAAAAGGCCATCATGAGGCACTACAAGCACCGTGTTAGCGTTTCTCTGCTCGCACGCTATCAACCCACTACAGTGGCCGGGTGCAAAAGTCAGGTACTTGAGAACGCATTAAGTTATCGTATCGCTCCAGCCGTGCTTTTACACCTGGCCGCGGTGCCAAGCGGAAATGCACTCTCTCCACGATCCGTCTCTGTTGACACACCGCTCGCCCTCTGTTTGCTGTTCCTCTGAGTTCTAGCTCCTGGTCCCGTACTGGCTGCCACCGTTCCCAGGCTGGCAGCTCGACCATGACCTCCGCTCACAAACGGAGCTGAAAGGAGGTTTAGAATTTCTAAAATGGAGAGGGAAGTGGAGGCCGTGTGTGTGTGTGCGTCTGAGAAATCAGTGTGAAGCAGAGACAGGAGGGTCCTTTTCAGTTCACCACCGCTTCAAATCCGGAGTCTATTCTTCTAAGAGCATTTGAGCTTCGCAAAGGCCGAGCGTGAGACTGAAAGCTGACCTTCCTGCTGCACCGCGCTCCAACAGGCTCGCACAATGGCAAACGTCTACCCCCCTATCTCACCCTTTGCATGGATTGCAGGGGTTCTCTCCCACAAAACGCTGAAACTGTCAAAACCCAGCTGATCATCGTGTCGCTGCTTCAGATAAAACATGCAACGTATAGCGTTACAAATTCCTTCAGAGGTTAGGAGTGCCAAGCTTTTCTGTATTTTTAATCTAATGCCCATCATCAGGCTCTGCACTTCACTCCCCCTCTTTTCCCTTCACATACTTGGGAACGGATTCCATTGCTTATCATTTTGTGGAGATAACAAAGCAACATGGAGGCCTTATCACTTCTGTGAAACCCACGGCCGGCTCTGACATGTCAAGAGACTGCGAGGTGTCGGCCGTGTGTCGACAGCAGCTGTGGAGGAAGTGGACATTTAAGCGCAGTGAGAAACTGAAGCACGTTACATGCACACAGACATCTGATGAAGCCTGCATCATCTAAATGATCATGGCCAGAACGCAAAACCAAATCGAAATGGAGATGCTATCTTTGAAATTGGTTGTCAGAAAAATATGCCAACTTTGAGCTGATAAAACATGCGACTAAGCAGGCAGACAACGGATCTGAGATGTTATTTTTAGAGTCGGGTCTGACCGGTATAGACTGCTACCACGAGGGAGAGGGAAATGGGAAAAGCATCGGGTGTGACGTTTCATTTTGTACCATTACACACCAGCGTTTTTCTTCTAATACCTACTGTACAGTGCACACATAGCCGTAGCTTTTTGTGGTTTATTTATTGGCACTCAAACTTAGCTCGTCTTCCCTCATTATCCCAGAATTTTAGCCGCTTTGTGATGAGTCGGAGCTCTTTTAGCAGTGATGGTTCCCCTTTGGGACTTGTGGGTAGAGCTGTGATGTAGACAGCTTCTTTTCTTCTTTCCAACTTGTCACAAACTCGCTCAAAGTATCGTAACAATGAGGGAAGACGAGCCGAGCTAAAGTGACAATAAATGTGTTTTATTTGAAATAAACAAAGATAACCATTTTAGAGAAAGATGAGTGTGAGGCGTTGTCGTGAGCAGCATCAGTAATGTGGGAAGTGTGCGGTCGTAGACGGTAAAATGACAAACCAAACTAAAAAAAACCATAAGAGCAGACAGAGAGGGAAACAAACGGGTCGGGCTTTAACTGTGGGAGCACGGCGAGTGGGTTTAACTACAGCATTCCACAACGTTGTAAATTACACAGCATCTAATCAAACACTTTGCCGTCATTAATCTCCGTCACCGTGCTTGCACTCACTAGAGCCAAGTGGGCCCTCCTTCCCAGCTGCTTGTGTTACTCCGCCATGCGGAAAACAAGAGCATAAATGAGCAATATTTCCTAAACGAGAGGTCAACTCCGCCCCCTTCTCTCAAACTGGCGGGACACTGGAGAGCTCTGTGTGTCATGGGTCCATCAGACAGACACGACAGATGTGTTTACGTTTAGATAACAACCGCTAATGAATGACTGCAGCCTCCTGAAGAAGGCGAAGTGTCTAAGTCTATAGGCAGAGACGCACACCACAAACTCTTCTTCAATGTCTCGTTTGCGGCAGAAGTTGTTGCTCAGGGCTAAAGTTTAATGGCTGAGCAGAGAAAATATCCTAAAAGGGAAAACAGATCCACATTATTGGACGGACGAACCACGGCAACTCACGTCGGAAAAGGTAACACGGAGAAATACAAACCCCGAAAAATGTGCAACCGCTAATATCCAAGATATGCAAAGCCAGAGAATTGTCTACCTCCGCTTAATCCGTAAGCCTCAACGCCAGGAGGGCCGGGTGCCCGAGGAGCAAGGAGAAAATGAAAACTCAAATCCCTCACACCCCAGCACCTCCACGTGCTGTAATTGATTTGTGGGATTTAGATAAATGACAGAGATACGGCATGCGACCGAGTGGTGGGCTGGAGCCGGGTGTCAGCGGGAGGCCGGAGTTCACCGCCTGGGGTCGTTTACAGCTAGACACGAGGAGCACACTGTTGTGCAGCTCGCTGCTGAGAATCAGACAGCTGGCTCAAGAGCGTCATCCAAACAATCAACTGTACCAGCTGACGTGACAGGGAATTGATGCTTTTCTTATTGACAAAGATGGCTTCCTCCTCAAAATAAAGGTATATGGATTCTTTTCATGAAAGGGAATATGAACACGAGTACCCACAGTGAGACCAATGTTTTAAAAAAAGACATTTGGCAGCCATGGAAACAGCACTGCATCTACTCATCACCCATGTCAGCTGTGAGGATGCAAACACAGATGAGCAGCTCACAACCACGTCTGTTAAATCCAGCGCTGTTGACTCCTGGTGGTCATCTGCACTTCAGGATCAAAGCCCCCAGAAAATCACACAGATTAACGGCACTCTCCGTCCCATCGGGGGAGGCTCTCAATTATTCACCCCAAAAAATGTGTCTGCGAGCGGTTTTATCTCGGTGAGTAGACCTGCTGTAGAGGAACTCGGGGCACTCTCAATTCACTGTGGTGGAAATCCAGGAAATGTGCACCCCCCCTATCCTCACAGACCACCTGTCTCGTCCTGATGGGTTTTCAGGGAGGTGGGGGAAACAGATCGTAAATGGAGGGGGTGTGGGGGGCAAGTAATGGCCCTGATGTGAATAATTTAAACAAGCAGTGGAAACACATAGGGATGGACATGTGCAGCTGCTGAAGAAAGCACTATAGCGGAGTGATTGAGAACACGACCCAACAGCACCTAAATCCCCCGTGGTGGTCGTAACAGAGAGACTAGGAGATGTGGGCCAGGTGTGCAGACTCTGTGTGTGTGTGTGTGTGTGTGTGTGTGTGTGTGTGTGTGTGTGTGT